TGATAATTTTGCAGTATTTCGCTTCAAGTATATAAACACTTTACTTAATAATACATCACCAATGAACATCATAATTTTCGCTCGAATGAGCGCAACCCACAACAATGTTACAGCAAAACGAACCGATATTCATCTCGGACACTAATTAAAGTCGCGAGTGACTTACTAATTAGAATGTGTAATTGCGAGATATCATCTTTCATTTTAACAAACAGACACTAACCGTGTATTAAACGAAAGAAACACGTTTACGCAACACGCATACAAATTACACACGCCGGTCAACGCAGACAGCTCATTATAAAAAAACATCAACATAAGATGTATCCTCAACAAAACAAGATATAACATTTCGCAACGACTCTATAAAGGAGGTGCTCTTGCGCAAATCGGCGTGACGTCACCGCGTTCGGTTCCGGCTTCACTTTCGCGAAACACTTTCACCCGCTCGACCAGACCAGTGCGCTGGCGCCGGCGACGCCAACCGTATGCCGATAGACCGACTTGTTTGTCATTCAACACGCGAGAATCGATAAACCGATAATATAGAATAGTTAACATAATCGGTCAATCGGTGTGGCGACCCATCGGTAGCGATTAAAGAGTCGTCACACGGTCGCGATGGTAAATCCGGGACAGGATTAAGTCAATACACTTGTTTTTACATTCTAAACAGGCTAGGAAAAAACCTTTCATGTGACGTATATTCAAGATTACAAAGCAGATACACGATTCAAAAATGATGGAACGATGATAAAGAATCTGGATTTATCTATGATGATGAGCAAATGCTACGACGATTTGCTCATCATCATAAATCAATATACGCCTACATGGAGAAGTCAAAAGTCTCTAGAATCTGCGTATAAGCATAAGAATGACGAGTTATAAAAATGGTTGAAATAGCTACTGGTAGGTAGTTACTACAAATAGGTACTATAGGTATTCTAGACTAGTTTGCTAAAAGTTGCTTTGTTCAAAAATGAAATCTAACTTTATTACTGACTATGATTTCAGTTTATTAACTCCTTCCTTATTTTAGTTTATGTTCGTGACAAATGGAACTCAAATTCTTTTGTAAGGTTCCATATATACCAAGCATAATTTTTCGATGCCAAAAAATTTCCAGTCTTAGTATAGGCAGTACAGAAACACATAAAATAAAATAGTAGCCTATGGAAGTTTACTCTTTATTGTCTCATAAAGGATCTAACGTAAAAATACACACAAAAATGTCGTGTAAAATTCTTTTATATAACGATATTTTACAATACAACTATAGTCTCAACTAACCAGAAACTAATAAAAAACATCTATTCTTTAAAACAGAAAATAAATATATATACACATACGAGTGTGGTAGTATAACGGTAACGTATAAGACGGTAACAAAAATGGTGTAAATCATACCAAAATACATAACATTAATTCCGGCTTCACACGTATGCTTTACGAATCTTTGAATAGATCAAGCCGAGAATCTATAACAAATATACATATAAACCTTCCTTTTGAATTACTCTATCTATTGCTGAAAATTTCATTAAAATCCTTTACGTAATTTAAAACATATAGCGAACAGACAACGGCGGCGATATTGTTTTACTATGTAAAGATACAACGCGATTATCTATTCGATAATTAGTACTTGTATTGAATGCATGAATGGTCCTTTATCGTACATCGATACGTGACCACAGACAAATAGAGTTAAAAAATATATATTCTGCCATTTTACTCTCAATTTTCAAACAATATATTTGAAATAAAATTTAAAAAGTAATTTAGTTTATAAGGTTTAGCTCAAACAATACTATTTAGACAAATTAATGTCCATTAATAAGGATCTGAATATTACTTAAACTTTACTGAAAAATCAAGAAACCCAAATATATACATATAGCAATATAAAGCAATTTATGGATATATTATCTCTGCAGTAGAAGATAACTGAAGAAGGAAATAATACATTAAAATACACAAATTATACCAAATACAAGAGCTGTATAGGCTTAGACCCTAGACCCTTTGCCTTCCTATAAATATAACTAAAACAAAGTGACAACAAATAAATACTGTAACTTAAAGTAGTGATATATATAAAGATAAAACCCTCAATATCCCGTTATATATATGTACCATTATATGCATGTGTTACCTTTTCCAATTATTGAGTCCTTATGTGATATTATTTAGGATAAAATGTTTATTTACCTTTTGTGTAAGTTCTGTTGGAACGTATTATACCAATTAATATGTATTAATATATTGAAGAAAGCTTGTGGTACAAAACTAATAAGAAATTTATAGTTTTAATAGAATAACGTAGTGTGTGATTAATGTTACGACCATTAGCGCTAAGTTATTTACAACTTTCCAGCATTGTGTCGTGATGAATGTTCGCCAGACATCGACCGTTTACAATAAAATAACTAAAGAGCAAGTCAATACAATTAATTTTGTAAACGTCCCCGCTTACTCTCTCTGGGACATTTCCACAAGCATTTTCTCCGATCGGCTCCGTTAGCTGTTAAAACAATTAATTACCGGGACAACCGCCTTCCCACACTTTCTACGCTATTGTGTTGAAGTGAGACAATCATATCTTGCATTTATTGTCATACAGATTGATAGGAGGGCAATCACGATATTTTTGTTCGAATAAAAAGATTGTTTTTGTGCACTGTTGACTTTCTTTTGTAGTTTTCACGATCGGATCGCACGCACGGGTGAATATTCTTGGTCAATCACCACAGGTAGCGTCAGGGTTTGACTTTTCTTTAAAGGGCTATGAGAACAAGATGAAGGTCACCGCCGGTAAACGGAATTGAAATCTATTTTTATACCATTGAGCCAAGCAAATAAGCCGGCGGTTTATAATAATGTAAAAATAGTAAGTAAAAAATAATCTTTATACATTCATTTTACGACAGACAAACTGAAGACGTAACATTCTGTCCACTTTATTGGCCATATCAATACCAATAATACAGAAATAACTAAAAGCATCAATACAAAACACAAAACAAGTTAAATCACGATTACCTTATTATATTATGTACTAGCTGTGCCCGCGGTTTCACCCGCGTGAAATTTGTTATTCTGATGTATAAGCTATATTACTGTAAAGTTTCATCAAAATCCGTTCAGTAGTTTTTGCGTGAAAGAGTAACATACATCCATTCATATGAATATGCAAACTTTTGTGTTTATAATATTAAGATAAGATATAAGTCAATAATATATTGACAAATACTCTCTGTCTCTCCCTTGCTCTAACATGTATATCGCCCGTAATATGGTTTTACTTACGTGCTGTAACACATATTAATCTATCAGTAAAAGCATGGAGACGACAACTAATATACATATCTATGAACTGTAGTCTTTCAGTTTTGACCAGCCAAATAGACTCAAATACTCAAATATATCTATGAAAGAATTAAAAATATAATACCATCCATTTGAATAATAGTCTCAGTTGACATGAATTAAGACTATCTATCTATCTAAATATACCACACAATTACTTCTAATGGTCGCAGATTCGATTCCTTGCATGGGACAAACATTTTTATTCAAGAGTATGATTGGTTGTATCGGTCTAGACCATCAATGTCTTCCCGTAATTGTACACCATAAGAGTATGTAGGCGAAATAAAGCATTCCATAAACAGTACCTACCATGTAACAAATAATGTCGATTAAGTGGAATCGAGAGCTACTGGGTCACGATGGCGTTATTCAATTTGGTTGACCCGATTATAAAAATCGTGGCCTGACCCGGCACTAATTCGACTCCCAGATACACTATGAAAAACTTTTAGATCCATTTTAACGCTACTTGTAGCGTTAAATTTGAGTTTCTACGGTGCGGTATTGAGTTGTAGCAGTTTAAACACGTGGAGAGACATCTATAATATTATTATAGGAAATGATATGACAGTCAGATAAAAGATGGCACTAATTGCATATAAGAAGATTACGGAATGGGACAGAATTTTGATTATACCTAATGTTTGAACATAATGTGGTTTAATACACTATCATTAAACCACATTAGGTTCTTATTTACAATGCTAAATAATGTCAAGCCATATTTCTGAAACAGAATTGAAGGAGGGGGGGATCTTATCATCATCCACTGGTGCAGCAATCCATTTTCATAGATTAGAAAAAATAGAATTAAACTGTAATGTTTTGTTAAAATAATTTCAAAGTCAAATTAAATCGAAATATTTTATATTCGTATAGACTCTTATGATATGTTAAATTTGTACTAACTGATTTGCAATAGTTAATACCATCTGGCAATGTTTTTGTGGATACACGCGATACAGGTTCGCTTACTTCGGGGTCCAGTGTATAATTAGATTTGTTAAATTAAAAATAAAATAAATGTTGAATTGTGTGTGGATAAAATAACCAAAATAAGGTTGATTAAAAATGACGCCAACCTGAAACTGCTTATACAGTTCAGTTCCCAAAATGGATCAAAGGACATAGAGGGCAACCATACTGGCGTGGTCGTTAGTCACTTGGCACATAATGCACATTTGGCATAAATTATATAGGTAAACTTCTATTACGGCGATGACGGATTGTTTGGTTTATTAAATTTTATCGAAAGTCTGCCAATAGTATTCAAGGTAACGTAAAATGAAATTTAGTGCTTAGTACCTACAGTCCAAATACATACAGCAGACATTAAATCATTAACTCGGGCTCAATTTATCTTTAGATAAATAAATAATAATATTTCCAATATATACAATTAATTTTCTTCTATTCAAAGTTATATATTTATAAAGAGGTTTTTATTGTTTTGTTTGGACAAGCGTCAAAAGTTTAGACTTCCAATACATACATATTCTCAAATTATTACTAACTTATTGAGTTAACCTCTAGCGAGTTTTTTTAAAGTAATGAACTTTAAAAAAACTCGCTATATGGCAATCAATGACATATAATGTCAAAGTCATAAAACAGCGACTTTAGACTTTAATTAATGATCGAATATCATAATCAATAAGTATTTCCTAACTACACTGCATGAAGGGCATTTTGAACCTAATTTTTAAAACTTTCATACTAAATCAATCTAGTGACCGGGCAGATTTCCACCTGAGGAATATTCTGAAGGAAGGTAATTCGATAACCTGAACTACATTATTGACTTTCAGCTCAGTATATCGATTGCAATTAACCCGATATGTTGAAAGTTATAGTAAATTTGATTATATCTTTCGAAAGATACAATACAAAAAGATATAAAGAAAAACAGAAAGAGAAATAATATTTATTCAAATAAACTTAATACAAGAACTTTTGCATAGTCATATTTTTATTCTATCACTCATTCTGAACGCAGATTCATCAGAAGAAGAAGGAGCAAGAAACTTGTATTTTTCTCTTTTGAATAGATGTTTATTTTTATATAAATAATTACACAATAACAAGTAAGGGCATGCAATAATCAACATAGAAACCGCCACGCACTGATTCTTAGTACAAATCTACTATGAATTTTAAGTTTTTCTACAAAAACATTATTACCGATAACGAACTCTTGAATTTCATAACATGCTTTTTTAAAGGAAGTGTTTTATTGTGTTTTATACGACATTTTAATATTTTTTCAGGCAGATTTAGAATATATTCTGGTAGTTTGTTGTAAAACCTTACGCAATTAATATTGCGCTAATCATATTTTTTCATATTTCAATTTTTCAATCCCACTTAAATAGAACTCTCCGACACTATTAGTAAATAGTGCCGCATAACTTTTTAATTTTTCTATCCCACTTTTAGGGCTGTGTAGACCGAGTTTGTTTAATTATATTTTTTATTCATTGTAGGATTTAAATCTATCCATTTCATTACATTTCTATTAATATCGTTGTGTCACTTCTCATAAACTAGTTACAATTCCTATCAATAGATGGTGTTATTAGAATAATACGATACAACAACTCATAAAAAAACCGACGCATGCACTTACCTTGTAAATTGTCGAGCATATACGTCAACAGCTTCGACGTGCCATTGTTGTCGTTGTATATGGACAGCATCTCCTTGCTAAGCGGGTTACCCTGTAGCCCGAGCATCTGCAGGTGGAACAGCTTGCCGAGCTCGTACGGCAGAACTCTCAGATAGTTGTTGTGGAGGTGCAACTCTCTGGAAAAACAACGCTAGGTCATTACTAGGTCTTTGATGAAGCCTTAATTAAATGGCCCCGGAGACGTGCGCGTGTCCATAATTAAGTACGGCATTTTTTTTCTTTTGTTTCTCTTTTCTGGTTCGCATTGTATATGTATATTAATAGATTTTTATTTTTCAGGCGCGATTTGATACAAGATTAGGGTGAACTGGATCGCCCTAACGTCGGATTGGAGCGTAATCAAAACTAACACGAGATAGAGCCTGCACTACACTATCTACAGGGTGTGCCAACGTCGCAGGAATTGCGATAGAATGCTAACGCGACCTCGCGACTCCAGCAATGGTGCTCATAGGTAAACCTTGTGGTTTATTAGTTGGTAAGAATCCTACACACCCCCTCATCCCCCTCTGATTGGGTTACGATCAGAGGGCAGATTTTTCCACATGATAAAAAAAATTACTAGGTCACATTAAAATATTTAGTGGGGTAATGTTCAGTAATCCGGCATTTATATAGACAAAGATAGATTTAAAATCAGGTTAGCAATCGGCATCATTGCTAGCAATGTATTATGAGATCGATTTTCACGCGGGTCCCTGGTAATCATCGTCGCTAATTTCTGTTAAATTTGCTATAAAGGTCTACCTGTCGGTAGCCCATCTTAATCTTTACATCTTTCATTGGTACCTCGCTAGCGTAAACCGTTAACACAGTAGTTGCACCATTTCATTATAACAATTAAAAAAAATATCGAGCTTGGTTAAAAAACAATCCCTCAAATTAAAAACCTCTTATTGGTAGTCCATTTATAAAACTCAAATATATTTAATCATATGGATTATTTTAATCAATTATGCATATCAATTTCTTATGCTATTTATTTAGCCCTACCCTATAAAATTTAGCATGTACATTAAACAAACAATGACATCATAAACTATAATATGGTGACCATGATCCTCATAAGCGTCATTAAAACAACATAACGCGAATCAACTACAAGTTAACACAAGAATATATGTACACAAATATAAACGTATATTGAGTTCCTTCATTATTTAATACTAGCTGACCCGCGCAACTTCGTCTGCATCACACTTACTTGACATTTAACATTATATTTCGCTCAATTTACATAATTAAATAACAGATTATGCACTATTCTGATGCATAAGCTATATTACTGTTAAGTTTCATCAAAATCCGTTCAGTAAATTTAGCGTGAAAGAGTAACAAACACCTTACTTACAAACTTTCACGTTTTATAATATTATTAAGATAAGATTGTTTCGTTTGATATTTTTTACTTTGTTTTTAAAAAGGTATATTCACCCTCTAGGACATAGCTGAATAATCAGTGTTTTGCTCCTTAAGTGATTCTCCACACTAAGCTATATACCATTTTGTATTACTGTAGCATATATATATAGCCTCATATTGTATTGCATTGATTTAAATAATCTGTATTGTATACTATTTGTAATTAAGCCTATATATGTAAGATAAAAATAAAATTTCTTATCTATCTATCTACCTTTATTCCATACAGCAATTCACTCAAAACAAGATAAATCACAGAATCGACAAGACGCGTAAATACCTCAGTTCGCGATATGCTTACCAATATAAGCAATTTGCATACTTATCATAACAGCGAGCAAGTTTAACGACCTTTTAGTAAATACCTAAACAAACCGCTTTATTGTTATTCAATATGTAATGTACACGCATTGTGACTATCTTGTATACCAATATGCAAGGTTATTTACGTTAAAAAATATCTAATGAATAAAAATGAATGTCTGCATTCACTCACGTAGTAATATTCCCATATCTGTTGCATACTTTCAGCGTGCTCTATACTATTATTTAAAGAGGTAAAGTTTGTGAGTGGATGTTAGGAGTCCGGTAATATTGAGCCTATTTTGAAAATTCCTATAGTGGTGGAAAGTTCATTTATCGAGAAAGGCTATAAGGCCACTGGCCTAACCCAACGTGGGGACCATGCACGGGGGCAATTTGTTAAGATGGCCAATTCGAAAGTGGACTCTTTATTAAAATTAAATGTAATGTGAATTTAAATATTTCATTATATATTTTGACATTTTACTGGCTGTTTCATTTATTTATTTTCAGATTAACATTTTTTCTTGGTGAAAGTGTTTTAGTTCGATAAGTTTTGAACCTGATTTATGGCTTGGTGTACCCTTTATGACTACACTGTAGTCTTACCAAGCCGAAGAATAAAGAAATCATAAAATTATATACATTCCCTTCTACATAACATAGTATAGTTTATTAGACATTACAATATGTATGGAATTTCGCGTCCCAAATTGTATTATTTATTTTATACAAAACAATCTAATCTCTTAATATTGTTTACAATCAAAGAATATGTCATATATTACTCAACTCATATAATCATGATTTAATAAATATAACATTGTGACTATATAATAGCACTTGACATGGATACGCTTCACTAGATAGTGAAGCGTTCAAATCTTATGAGATCGAGTTTGTAAAGTTAAATTTGTTTTTAAATTCCCAATAAAATGAGATAGCAGTCGTAGGCATTACATCTGATATTGAACTAGGTTCTCCAATAGTATAAAACAAAGTAACTAATTATATACATCTCCCTCACTTACATCTAAACCATGTTTCTGTAAATTGAGAAATGAATTAATATCATTAAAAACCGTATCAAAATCCACAGCGGGTTTTGATATGCTTTTTAATGACATTTTGAGAATTTCTGGAAGGTTTACATGTAAATCACTTACTATATACTTGATTTTCACAGGTGTATACTATACACATGTGAAAATCAAGGGCGCGTCGCTAGTATATAGAATAATATAGTATTTTATGTCAATTTTATTATTCATTAGCGAAATTAATTAATCATTGATTATTTTGGTACATTATTGTTTTCTAAATATAATGTTAGAACCAACTCAAAAAACCCCTTAGAGTAACTGATACATGATTTCGATAACCGTTAGTTTTGTAAATGATATTGAAAGAAGATATAGAAAGATATAGAAATAATTTTGAAAGATTCCGATTTTTAAAACTTTCTAGTTTTAAAAACCGAAATACTTGAAATAAAATTTCATAGACAATAATAATGTGTATAACAAATAGATTTTTTACTTTTAAAATGTAATAAACACTATATAACGTCATGCGCCTATGAATGTACAAACATTGAAGTACAATGACCTGATTTAGCACCTTGATATTTTATTATATGGCAAATATTTTCATTTACTATGTTGACCGCACAGTGTTAAACGAAATGATGTCATTATCGCTGGAAGATTGTTTTCGTGGCTTTATCTAATACTAGTTACTGGTCACGACCTCGTTCGTGAACTATTACAATGTATTGCCTATGTAGATATAAAATAATTAAATTAAACAATAAGTTCCATTTCTAATAGATGCAAATGACTACCACAAATGCACTCTGTCTCATAAAATTACCTGCACAATAACTATAATCTTTTTGATATATTTTATGATTTCGTTCAAGAAAAATAAAGAGACTTGTCGTTTGTATGAGACTATTTTGTTATTTATCTTAGGATATCAATATGGATGTAATCCGAATTAAAATTAAATAAATAAATATTGAATTGTCCTAGACCAATTAATAATCTTCACCAATACTAAATTGCTTATGATCCAAATACAATAATTAATATACATTTTTTTAACTATTCTAATGATTCTGACCGCATTTGGCTTTTACAGCTTTAACGAACGATAGGGGGCGAGTATAGACAGCACTCCAAACCCGCGGAATGAATTATGGAGCGGCTGAAGACCAACTCCTTCGTGACGGATATGACTTAAGTCTTGGGGCACCTCTAGGGGTTTGAACCTCGGCTCTGGCCGTCATAATATACGTTACCCGTTAGTGTTATAGTCAATATACCTATAAATATGATATCATAATGAGTAAAAAATACAGCCTATTTATAAACCAATTAGGGGTCAAAATACTTTCTAATTAATTAATAGAATATTAATGAATTTCCATATCATCATAAAACTAGATAAAAGATTAATTCTGCCATGATATTTAATTAATCATTATTATCTTATGTCAAGTACAATGAACTCTAAGATAAGAATTATCCATTTTGCAAGCGTGCCGAATCAACACTAGTGTTCAATAATATCTCACGATAACTTATGATAAATTATGGAGACTCTATCAGAAAAGAACGCTGTCTGGTGGAGTCTCCATAACTATCCATAAATATCAGCATACCTAAGGACTCTACACTCTATGATCACTAGATGAAAAAACATATATTTTACTCATTTTGATGAATCACGATTAAAACCTTCCTGAATATGTACCTCTTTCCATTCTGCATAATCATGAACCATGTAAGCCGTGTTTTCATAGTGATTCTATATTTTATACCATCTGGTCACCCTAGCGAATTTCTAGTACTTTTCCATATTTAGTCTCAATCTTAGGTTTAAAATTTAATATCTAGATAAATGGGTAGCGTAAATATTGTGTAATATACCACTTTGATTACATTTTATGGAGTCTTGTCGTGTTTCAACTTACAGTTATATTTGGCATCATACCAAAACATTTTAAAATTCCACACCAACAATAGATATGCAAGCTAATGAGCAGAAAGTTCAATGTACTGGGACCGTGATGGAAAAGAATCCTATAGTAATAAACAACCATAGACAAACACATTGCCAGTAACCCCTTGTCCCAAACATAGACAACAAAATTAATAACCAATAAAAATAAAGATGTCATTTGCGTTAATGTGTATATAAGGCTAGGCTATAATGAAAGAAATTAGAGGAGGTGATTGTTAGTACCAGGAACTCCATTGCTAGCAACGTACCGTGTCAGGTCATCCTCCACGTGGTCCCCTCTGGAAACCATCGTGGTTAATTCGAGGTTTTTTTTCTCATGATGGCCTAACTGACTTGATCGGATGCTCATCTTGTCATCCTCATATACTGTTAGCGCAGACAGGTGTACCATTCCATTATCATCCTCAAAAATTGAAGAAATTGCGAAAACGACATACGCTGAGCAAAACACTAGCAGATATGATAAATAAAGATGAAGTCAACTCAGTCAGCCGATCCTGGTGAATCAACTTATTTTTCAGGAGAGGTTGCTCTGTTAGGGCACATTGTTAGTAAAAGCGTCGCTTGTCAATATTCTCTTTTCCCAAGAGAACCGAATTTACAACAGAAGTGTACTATGTGTATTATATCAGTATATTGTTACCATTCCTGGGACACTATTAAAAAAAATTTAGTTGTTATATTTAGGATAAATGAAAGGAAAGTAATATAATGCATATAATAATTATTTTCCTAATTATGTCCCTATTATAACCTATTGTTAGAACTTCGGAATTGTATGAATATTTATTTACATTTCTTTATATACGAATGTTTTGCATATGCACTTACCCCTTTATTCATAAAAACTACGTCCTATAAGTGCATTCATTTCAACTAACAGAATGTTTTATCTTTATAATAAATGAGTTTGAACTAAAAGGAATAGCAACAGCTAAAGTATGTTGCCTACAATACTCTTTTTTTTAAGGTTATACTTTACATTTGACGTCCTCTATGATTCAAATATTGGATATATTTAGCTTAGCTTTACCTAACACGTCCTAGAAGAGATTCATGGTTAGACCGAATTTGGAAATGATCTAGACTGCATATTCTGTGATACCGCCAGGTGTGTTACTGTAACGAAACTATTAGCGAATGTAAGACAGAATTTGAGCCAAAAGAGTAGCTTGCCAAATATTTATGTATATATTATATGTTTATTCAAAATAGAATCAAGTATGCACACTGTGCGTCTCTGTATAGTAAGAGTTATGTATGCAAGAATGCAAAATAAATAAGCTAGTAATGATACGAAGAAATCCGCGATGTCACATTGGATAAACCGCGGAAATTACTATTGAGAGAACAAAATACCACTGAATACTTTTAGTGAAACTGTCATGATGATAGGGCATTTCCAATATGAATGTCGTAAAATTAAAGATGACAAAATAGACATGTTTTAAAAAAAACTATTCATGTAAATAGATGACGGTTAAGAGAATAAGCGTGTTTACATTCTAGAGTAGAAGGCCGGCATTGGCAGTGATATAAACTACCCAATTGTAAGTTTACAAACGTAGGAGCCTTTAATATATAATAAGATTATTAACAATTCTCAACTGGACCGGACTAAAATTTACAGGATAGCGATTTTGTATAAACAATTTGGGAGTTGCAGATGCTTGTTAGGTTTTACGATTGACAATTTTAATAGTTAAATGATCCGTACTATAAGACTCTAAGGAGACATCCAAATGAAATAAAAATACATTCGTCATCCATAAATTGTATCATAGGAATTACATATATTTATACGCCTCGCCCTTCCTTGTCAACTGGTCAGATTTAAAGAATTACTCTCCCTGGTGTGATGTGAATTATGAAGACGTTTTACAAATTTGCACTAATTATTGAAGTTAGTTAGACTCGGTTACCTAGCGATTTAGCACGCCGCCTTACTTTCGATGGTCGCTGATTCAATTCCTCGCACGGTATAATTATTTGTATTGGTTTGGGTGTTATGTATATTATATATGTATTTACAAAAAAATGGATATAAGAATTTGTATTTGTTATTTAGTACCCATAACATACTCTGCTATATGTAACCATTTTCCTTGGAAAAATAATTAGATTAAAGGACTATATTCTAACAATAATATTTTTATTATATTTTAAATTCATCCAGTAACTATTATAATCTTGACTTGGTATTCACAGAAATAGATATAACTTAATATTATATTACAAGTCAATTGTTTACTGTTATTTTTAAACTAAGATAAGATATAACTTAAGTGTGATTTACGCATGTGGCACTCGCATACGTCACGACTTATATTATGATGTCCACAATGCTTTTTATTTATATAGGTGACGGTTACCACATCACGTCAGCCATCAGTTCCTTTGCCATTGCAGTTACATGAAATAATAACAACAGAGTGTTTTAGAATTAAAAATGCACTGGAATTTATGCTTACAATTTTATATCCAAAGGAAAATCAGTACAATCTTGCAGGCGAAAAAGAAAATTTCCAACTCTCCAAGAATTCCGATCCAACAGAACTTGAAGTAGCATTACTCAGTTATTCAAAACAAGTTCTGGTCGAAGTAAGGGTTAAATAATAATAATATTTATTTATTTCATTATTTGGATAGCAATTACATCGAAACCATCGTTATTACACGTCGTAAACTCTAGTTACTGAAACATTACGTCAGAATATAGACTATTCATTTTATGAGTATTACTCATTACGGTTATATTCTCCTTACACATTTCCTAAAACTCGATCCTACAGGACTTGAAGTCACGTCTCTAGCTATCTAAGTCCACATCCTGTGAATATTACGTAAAAAGTTCTAATATATGAGTCGTATCATAACTATCGAAACTTGTTATTAACTGTTAAATACGGGTCTAAATAAACTGTATTCTTTATGTTTTCATAAGAAAGAAAGCCAACGTTATTCACAGCATATATTTTACTTTCCAATAGTTTGTACCTATTGGACTTGCAGTCCCATCCTTAGCTAAGTCTAGTATACTACGCACCATAGTGTACTGTATTACACATGAGTAGTAGCGTATATAGCTTTAATGTGTAAGCAAATTACACATTAAAAAATCTAATATTCACCTGAGCTGTATCAGATCGCCTAGTTCCGCCGGCAACGATCTCAACTTGTTGTTGGACACGTCGAGTGTGTGCAGATTCACCAACTGGTTGATGTCCGACGGGATCCGTTGCAGGGAGTTGTCGTTCAAATACAAGGCGGTGAGATGCGTCAGTTGAAACAGTTGAGGCGCCAGGGCGCGAACACCTCCTGTTACCTGAAATTTTCAAATATAACCTATTAGATTTATTTTTATAATCTTATTATTCAATTAGTGTTCACACAAAATCTTAGTTGTTAACATTAACAGGTGTGTTTTCTATATATTTATCTTGGGATAGAATACCATATGAATTCACATCATTTTTTAATAATGTAATACAGAATAAATAAAGACATTATTTTCAGTTGAATCAGTGGCTTCAAATTAACAACGAAGAAAATTTACTTTTAAAATAAAAGTCAATTTTCTTCAGTGTTACTGTAACGAATAATTTCGAATATTCGACTAATTAAACAGGATTAGTCACAGACACACACATACAAACAATATTATTATCAAGAATTCTCTGCAATCACACTAATAAGAAAAAAATTAGAAATATTTTCCAGCTTGTTTTCTTAGTTCTATAGTCACTTTAATTCGAAATCACTATCTGTTTATGAAAGGGCTTAGTTAGCATGGTAATAGTTACTCTAAGATCCTACACTTATGACCTACAATGGGTTGTCATTGTGTTCTACTTTAAAGAATAAAAAATACACATGATTATCCTTTGCAGGTACTATATTAGTACATAAATTAACTGTAACTGATACTATTAAGGTTATACTGATAAGAATATTTTTATCAGAATCACAATAATATATACATGTTATTTCCTTATTTACCTCTGTTACAATTTAACAGTTGATGTAAAATCATCATTTACAATAGAATTGTTATATTATTAACATTATGTAGGTATAATATAAAAATTATATTAATTGTTGAGTAAAATTATATTATTAATGATGTTATTCTCAATTTCCCTCTTTGTTTCTATACCTAGTATTAATTTCACTGACTGTACGAGTGTAAAATTAATAGCATCAATCAATTAATGTATTATATGAACAGAATTTTACATTTTATAAATAAATTTAATAGAATAATACAAAATTTTAAAAATTTTGTTGCTGAAAAACAAACGTTCAATGACAACAATGTTTTTGCAAGCATGTATTAAATAAATTATCAAAATAACATATTTTGATAAACTTTGTATTTTAAAAATAAAAAACACATTTGCATGATTGAGGTTCGTTTCTTTATTTTTAGGACTAGATTTCTAAAAATAAAGAATTGAACTTCATAATATAACAGTGACGAATAAATTAAAATTTTATTTTATTTCTTGTATTTGTAAGAATATCGTTTTCTTATGCAATAGGAAATATAAAAAACGACGCTACTACTAAGTACTTCTTCTTCACTAGCTACTTCTTCATAAATGAAAACTATAAATAAAAGCTAGCCGAACTGGACGGTAGGTATAATGATAAAAAAAAATGACGCACAAAAGAATTCTATATACTTAAACGATTTTGACTTTGCCATTAGGTATGAACTAGGGGGAGAGGGGATTGTTAGTAATGTGGATTAATGACACCATTGCCAGCAATGTACCATGTCAAGTTGACCTCCGCGCGGTTCCCCCTGGAAACCATCGTGTTAAATTCCTACTGAATTTATCAAATCCACGCCAGCGTAAACCGTTAGCGCAGACGGGTGGACCATTCCATTATGATCAATAAAAAAAAACAGGTACGAACTGTGCTAACGGTATAAGCTGACGGGGCGCTAGAATAAGCATGAAATCAAGCCAGTCAGCCTATCATGGCGAATTCATCAGTAATTGAGGATTTTTTCCAGGGAGGACCACATGAATGAAAACATACCTCAAGCGTGGTCCAGCCTCCTCGACGGCCGGACGCCCTCTCCGCCTCCGACATAATGTGGTATGTGCGCCCGCTCGCGCCCTCATGCTTGTCTTTGTTGCGAGACATACTGACACCTGGAACATTCATGTCTTACTGGAATTACAGAGTACAGAGAACACTTATACAGAGACAGAAATACTCCTTCGGAATTGCTATCCATGTGATGTACAGTTGCTATTCATGGCATCGGAACGTAATGTCAGTGATACTCATTACATATGCGACGCTTGCCACTATCCATTAGGTGGGCCGTCAGAATACTTGCCATTCGAATTCAATAAAAAAAAATATTAAGCCCTTTTAAACAAAAAGAACTTAGAAGAAAATCTTAAAGAAAACTAAAGGCATCAACTTTATAGTACCCGTACCCGTACCCGCGGTTTCATCCGCCTGAAGTTTATAGCCCATATGTTATTCTATTATTGTAGTTTCATTAAAATCCATTCAGTAGTTTTTGCGTGAAACGGTAACAAACGTCCGTCCATCCATACACACAAACTTTACAATTTTAGTAACAATAAATAGATAGACATAGATGTATTCCATCTAATGTTAGCAGTCAACTTTAAAAGTAGTTAAATTATTATACGTACTGGCCGTATAGTAACTTGATAAATGACTTATTTAGTAGGTACCATAGAATTATCAATCTCGATTTCTGTCTACAAATGTTTAGAAAATAATAAAAAAATCTTATCTAATGTAATCAAAGCATAAAAGAACACTATCAGCATGTTTACACTAAACCAACATTCTAAATATAACAATTATAATTTTGTTTAGTATGTTCTTCATTGGAAGAATTCAATTGGAAGAAAATATTTATTTCAAGTAAATTGAAATAAATATTTTTAACTGCAAATAGACGTGTAATACATCTGTGATAAACTGATAACTTTTATTATTTGGTGTTATTTAATATTATATTAACTAGCTGTGTCAGCAGTTTCACTCCCATTAAATATATATTGTATTCAACACTGCTATATTACAGTAGTTTTATTAAAAGATGTTGAGTAGTTTTTGTGTGAAAGAATAACAATCATCCGTCCATCTAAAGTTTGTGAGTATGGATGATTAGATAATCATCCATACTCACAAACTTTAGTGTTTATAATAAAATAAGATATTGCAATGCACTGTCCAAATACAAATAATAACAATAAAGATTTTAACTGATACTAAACTTTTTTAAGAATAGTGATAAAAACTTTTCTAAATTAACTAATTAATGATTAATTATCAAGATTTGTTTATTTGTTTGTACAATTTTAATGTAGTGGCAATTATAGTAGGAAGATAAACTATGATTACACATTGATAAAATATATTTTTGTAAATTATCATTTCATTTTATCACATACTAGTGGTCAGCTTACCCTCAACCAGGTATTCCTAACTCATCATAACCTTGCCTTTATCCCATTAATTGGGTCTGGGCCTGTATGTCCTTTTCTTCCACTGATCCCTATCAGCCGTCACATCTGAGCTTACTCTCCTTTAATACATATCATCTTTCACACAATCCATCCACATGTTTTTGGTTATGCTTTACCTTCGCCATATTGAGTTTTATATTGTAACATATGGCTGTCATATAAAAAAATTCCTTTCAAGTTCTGAAATAGGAATAGTGTTTTCTGTGGTTTATTCGTCTCATAACAAAACTTACTTTCTGCATAATATTAGTACAGAAGTAAAATCTGAGCCAATTATGTTCATTGAATAGGAAAACCATTATATAATGTTATTTACCATTGTTAACAAATTAAGAGCATAAATTAATTTTGTTCCAGTGACTTGTACCTGTGTTGTACTATAAGTATTTAAATAACATTTTAAAGTTCAGTTAAAAGATCAATTTAATTTTAATTATAATGTTACAATATATAAAACTTTGTTACAGGCGGAATAAATAACAGTAGAAAGGAATAAATATAATGGTGTTTGCTACACCATACATAACTATTGCCATTCCATTTGGCATTACAAATCTTTGGACAATGATTATTCAGCATGCAAGTAGGTCAATTTCTAATCTATTCAAGTCATGTTTTAGTTGTTTCATTTTTATATAAACTGGTTGATTCTACATTGAATAAAAAACAATATAAATGATATAAATGTTAAATCAAAACTATTAATAACTAGATGTTACCCGTGACTTTGTCCACATGGAAATATTTTTTTTTAAATAAATAAACTTTGAAGTGGCCAAAGTTACTTCTTAAAAAATAAACTTACTACAGTGAAATGATGTCAAAATCTGTTCATTAGTTTCAGAAATTAGCAATGAAATGCACACATACAAAAACTTTTAAAATTATCTCTTTGATATAAGCACCATATGCACTTTCATAGGCATTTAGTGAAAAGCTATTATTTTGAAATATCAAACACACACATCAATTTTATTAATTTGTATAGATTAACAATTTCCTATACTGTGCGAGATTGCACATAGACAGACCACCATTGGTAATATACACTTATAACAGATTAATTTTTGTTGTCAGTGTAAAATAAAGAGGTATTAGTATTATTATAATAATGAATAATCTTTTTCAATTAACTTTAGATAATTCCATAACCTTTTAAATTTACAATTAACAGTAAGTGGAAAACAATTCTATCTCTCACACAATCTTAATTCTGAACAAGGTTTTGTAGTTCTTTTGCTATAGATTATACTGATCTATCATAGACCACAATGTTGACAAAATATATATTACAAAATGTGTCTTGCAAGAATTATGTTAGTAGAAGCACTTAGACACTAACATTGTCACATACAATTATGTTTTTTGCAGATATGCGAGATTAAGTTGGTGCAATCATTGCTAATTCACATATATACAAACCAGTTTTGTTGAAAAACTTTGTTGCCATTCATAAAAAAGAAGTGCACCTGGCATTACTTTAATCTCAAGTACTTTATACTTTAACAATACTTTCTACATAATCTTCTACATGGGTAACTTTACACATAAGTACCTGACCAACAACTGTAAGTTCTCCTATATCAAGTATGAAATGTAGCAGAAAAATAAAAATGTACTGACAATTTAGTAAATAATTAATAGCAGAGCATATAGAATGTAGGCACTTTTAAAGGCATAAAATTTGATGATTTCATGCATGTGTGCACCTGCACCTGAACAATAGATATTTAGAATTACCTTCAAACTGCTTGGTCCAACAGGATTCCAACAAATTTACTTTGACATAGAAAAATACACTATAATATCAAGAATTAAAGTAACTATTAAGTTGTTTTTTGTAATATCACTTTTTGTTCTAGATCTGTGTCATGTCTCCACCATACCTACCATAACTAATGACAGATTTGTACTTTCTAACTACAAATTGTAATAATATAACAACTACATGAAAAACTTGAATATATCAATATTAACATTTTCAATGATACACTACAATACCTTGGCACGATATAAATATATCTTATATTACATTTTAGATTCTATACAAAACTAAGTAAACATTGATAATAATTGTTATTGTAATTATGGATATCAAATTTATGCGATATATGTGATATTTATAGAAGAGTTATACCTTATTAACACCGCGAAGGGTCATTAGATGTGTTAAAAAGACTTTGTTCAATAAACTAGTCTCTTCTTTCGAAAAATAAGTATAACAGAACAGTTCCATAACCTCCGAAGTTCGGGAGGAAGACCTAGGAAATTGAGTGAAATAACAATTACAATATGATTTTAACAAGTATATAATGGTAATTCGATTGAAAAACCTAGGATTTAATTCATTACTTGAATGATTTACATGTAAATGCGTAGCATCTTTGTGTACAGCTGACAACTAAAAGATGGGTCGTCTCGACGCCTAGTCCAAGCGCCAAATCACATTCAGTATTGACAACAATAATTAATACAAAATAAATATATCTGACTTCAATAAATACCTTCATCTACTCCTTAAAAGCTTTTACTTCGTTATGGATTATAGTAACGGGAATAAATCACTGTAAACACACAAATATCACAATCTTGACAAACACGACATCAAACGTCCATTTACCGACTGCAGCGCCAATCGACATTGGCGGTGAGTTCTAAAACTTTTCATTGTATTGTGGCGATCATAGACAATTTATATTTTTTAAACGTACCTGTGCTAATTCTGTACAACAACAGTAATAGGAAATTATATAAACCAATGCAATAGAAATTTAATGAATAATGTATTAAGTTCTTATTTTATTCAATATCTAAACTGAAAAAGAATTTTCACACGTCGGACTTAGGGATTACGACCTTTTTACAGAGTCCAGGGACCTAGTCATATAACAATATTTCTAACAGATTAAAACTTATGGATTTTGTACGAACTGTTTAAATATTTCAAATGTGAGCATAGTTTAAAATTGCATTTATTGAATGGTCCGTACATAAAAACAAAGTTTTAGATTTAAATTTGCAAGAGTGAGAATTGTTAACAGCACCCTTATACAATTAAGAAAAAATCCGGCCACAATATAAAAATAAATTAACAATTACTGATAATAATATTGTGTAGTTTATACCTGTATTATATTATATCACACATCATCTCCAAATATGTCTTTTTTAGATACAGGATAGCTTATATTCGTCTTTGCATACATATCTACAAATGTTGTGTTGATAATGGCGTGTTTCCTCAATTAATGAAATTTAGCAAATTAATTCCACTCTTTAAATCTGGAGATAGATTTGAGCTAGGCAACTATAGACCAATTTCTATTTTGCCAGTTCTAAGTAAAGTATTTGAAAAGATTATGTTTAACCAAATGTTAAAATACTTCAGGGATAACGGACTGCTTCACAGTCAGCAATATGGTTTCACTGCCGGCAAGTCTACTACTGATGCAGGTGTAGCGCTTATTACACATATATTCGAATCATGGGAAAACTCACAGGATGCTCTCGGCGTTTTTTGTGACTTGTCGAAGGCGTTTGATTGCGTAGATCATGAAACACTTTTGTACAAGCTCAAACATTATGGTATTAGAGATAATGACCTAAGTCTAATGAAAACTTATCTAGAGGATAGGGTGCAAACTGTAGATATTGATGGTGTAAAGTCTAAGGGAACTAATATAAAAATGGGCGTTCCTCAAGGTTCAATATTGGGCCCATTTCTCTTTTTAATTTATATAAATGACCTTCCCTACATGGTAGAGAAAGTTGCAGATATAGTGTTATTTGCGGATGATACTTCGTTAGTGTTTAAAATTGGTCGCCAATGTAATCAATTAGACGATGTAAATTATGCTATCTCTGCTATACTAAATTGGTTCACATGTAATAATCTATTATTGAACTCCAACAAAACTAAGTGCATTAAATTCACGCTGCCTAATGTAAAACAAGTAAATACGCAGCTATTGCTTAATGATGAAATAGTAAATTTTGTTAATGATACAGTTTTTTTAGGAATAACAGTGGACTCGAAGTTACAATGGGGGCCCCATATTTCAAAATTAGCCAGTAGACTTAGTTCTGCTGCTTATGCAATTTGAAGGATAAGGCAATTAACAGACGTGGCGACGGCAAAACTTGTATATTTTAGTTATTTCCATAGCATTATGTCATATGGCATACTGCTATGGGGTAAAGCTGCCGATATAAATACTATATTTATTTTACAAAAGAGAGCCATACGTTCTATTTATGGTATGGGTTCTAGAGAGTCATTACGTCAATGCTTTAAACAATCAAATATCCTCACCGTTGCCTCACAGTACATTTATGAAAATATTATGTATACAAGGAAAAACTTAGATAGTTTCAAGAAACTTAAAGACTGTACAAGTAGAAACTTACGCAATAAAAATAAGCTAATTTTACCTAAATGCCGTCTACACAAAGTTAGTAATTCATTTTATGGTAATTGCGTAAGATTCTATAATAAACTGCCAGAGTCTACGCTAAATCTTACAGAGAGGCAATTCAAATCTTATATTAAACAAATGTTATGTAAAAAAGCCTATTATAAGATAGATGAATTTATAGATGATAGCAATATATAGCAAGAATAAGTTTATTTGCGGGCAACGTTATAATTTTAATTTTCATACTGCTTTCTTGATATATGATAGCGTAGCGGCTTTTGTATTGATTGCCGCATGCATCCTTATGTAAAGTGCGAATACTGTAACTACCATATAGTAATTTTTGTAGCTGTGACGTGGTCGTGTGGAATGAGTAGTCATGCTCACTAAAATGTCCAGACATGTGGCGGCGTGGTGGGCCGGGTCAATGGGCTCCCTAAAATATGGTCGAGCGCAGTGATGGCTGGCTCATCCGTCATACTCGTGAACGAGTGCTGCTTGTAGGGACTGGTCTGCTCTTATCACTACGACTGATTTAATCTTATTGCATGATTATATTTGACCCAAAAAATTAGTGCTTGTTGGTAGTTTGTATTCACACGTTTCGACTTGTAAATGTAAACTTACAAGGATTATTTAAAAGAGCAACACACAAGTTTCTTGCTCGTTCTTCTTGTGATGAGACAGCTTTCCGAACGAGTGGTAGATAAAAAACAAATTGTTATGACTATTCAAAAGTGCTTAAATTAAGTTTATTTGAATAAATGATTTTCTATTCTATTCTATTCTATTCTAAATCACAACATACATATTACTGTGATAAATGAGTATATGTAGGTAGAATAAATATAAAATTAATTGTAGTACTGTTTACTGTCCAGTTTCGGTATATATGTTATAGTCTTTTGTCTGTAATTAAACACCATAATATAAAACACTATTTAGTTTGGGACTAGATGAAGCTATGTAAATTGTACGTTAGGTATTTCTATTCATTTAGATCCTGCAATTGGAGGGACATTTTGAACTTAGACTTTGTCTACCGAATAATCGTTCAATGGCCAGCAACGGCCGTTTGCCATTAGCTGGGTGGTAAGTAGACTAGTATCTACTAGTCTACTTACCAGCCAGCTAATTTATAACTAACTATCTAACTATCTAGTTAGAACCATAAAAAACATATATAGTTTTACGAATGCATATAAAAGGAAAAATGAAGTCAGACACTTTTATTAATTGTATTGTAGTCAATGATGTGATCTTTGGCCTGTCGATTTACATTATCATAATTCTTTACCTAAAACTTACAGTACACTTTGTTTCAGTGACAGCTAGTGCCCATAATGTGCGCCATTAAAAAGTTATAGTCGTTGTTTGGAATGTTATTATAAACTCATTATAGTAATAATATTTGTAAACTTGTAATAACAGCATTAATTATTTATATAAAAAGTATTAAATTCATTTTAATTTAGCGAAGTACTAAATTAAGGTAAAAAATGGTGGAAATAAGTAAATTAATGCTAGAACAATCTGGTTTGGGCAAACTTCAGTGCCAAGAATTATTTCATCCAGGAGCGAACTGTATTAAGAGTAGTGGTATTATGTTCTTTGCATGTTTGAAAGGAAGCTTCTATTTCTATTTACCTATATACACAGTAAGTACGTGCAAAAAGTATTTCAAAAATATAGGTACACTTTAGAATATTTATATTTTGTTACATATAATACTAAAAAAATATTGTTACTGAAATTCTTAATACTTCCCAATAATAATAATTAATCCCATAAATCTTCCAAAAATAAATCTCTGATCAAGAAATATCTAAAACTGGTAACTCAATATGCGTACACTATAATTAGATTATAGATTTATAATTAATTTTGGAATTGAGTTACAGTGGTAAGTCTTTATTTTTCGTTTAATATCTATGTACTAATGAAGAAAACAATAGAGTTGAATTCCCCTTATTTAGCTAATTCTTAGAATGTTATAAAACGTGCCTTTGAAATAATTAACGGCATTTAATCCAGTCACCATTATCCACTTCCTCATCGAATTTTTATACACAATATGCAGTGTTTTTTTTGTTACATTTTTATAAGGTACAATAATTATAAAAAATTAATGAAAGCGAAAGTGAATAAATCTGCAACTTCATTTTGCATAGTAATTAAAATATTTCGTTGAAAATCGCTTTGCGATGGTTTCGGTTTCCATCAATTTAAATATGTGGATCTAAAAGAACGAACTAGTTCTCAAGAATACTGCGACTTAATTTGAGTGATGCTAGTCGCGAACTACTATCTGTTACAATTGAGAATTTTTAATAACATTGTTACATAATTGAAGCCCAATGCTGCTGGCCACAATCAAGCCACGGTCCAAAAATGTATTAATCCATTTCTTAGATATTTTGAAAGAAATAATTAATAACATTTTATTTCTGACCATAGATTTAGTAAGTTTAAGTTTCAACTGATTTGACTTCTGCACAGAGTACGTTTGAGTAATATTATGTTTGTGCTAGGCTGTATAGTCTCGTACCTTTGCCTATCCACTTGTGGATAAAATATACCACTACTATTATGTTTGTGACAATTGCAACTTTTCATTTTCTTTTCCTACAATTTGTATTAACATCAAATGAATTTCATTACAGTAATGTAAAACATAATTATTTATTTTTATTTAGATTTGATTAAATTAAGTTAAAAAAAAAAGAATCTTAAGCCTTTCAGCGAGCAAAAAGTATTAAATTAGGGTCGTATAAATGAATCACAAATGTATTCGATAGTATTTTCATTAACAACATTGTCTTCTTCATATATATTTTAAAAACGCAAACCTTCCAACGGTTTAGTGCCTATTTATGCCTTGAACACTGATTGTCTAATGACAATACAAGTACAAAACTTGTCTACTTTTTGTGTGCAATAATATAGAGAACGACCAGCCAACTCAATAACTGTGTCACAGAACATCACACTTCTGATGAATTCTGGTACTATATACAGATATCGTATCGGATTCAGATATTACATAGATTAGAACAGTACCATAATGTATACATCATTAAGCTTTACTGTTTAATAAAAAAGCTTGTCATTACACTTGACTATCTCAAAATTTATTGTGAAAATATTAAATAAATTATGGTATGTTGAAAATTTTGATATAGTGAAGTATTGTATCAATTATAAAAATGGTTGAGGCAAGTAAACTATGGTTTGAGAAAGCCTGTAGTGGCTGTGAATGCCAGGAGTTGATACACCCTTGGACAAATGGCTGTAACAATGCCACTTCATCAATGCTTCTAAGTTGTATCCGGGGAAGTTACAAGTTTTATGCCATGGTCTATCTAGTGAGTACTTATTATGTTATACTTTTTTCTTAATCATAGAGCTGGATTGATTAGAATAGTATATACATATTCTTTATTCAAATAAGCTTGAATTACATAGCCTGTGGCTTTCAACAAATGTATAATAAAATAGTATAAATTCATTAAAGTAAAATGCTTCAGTAATAAAATAGATTAGTCATACATAATCAGAGGTATCTGTGCTGTTATGTGTTTATAATTTGTCTTATAAGATTTGTTCTCGGATAACAAACTAATAATACTGTTGTTTGTACCAAATGTATAAAAGATTCTGATAGATATTAATAAAAAAGATACTGATTAAAACTGATTAATGTTAAATGAGTACACACACCATTCTTGTGACCAAATTTGAACTGATTTTTGGGAAATATGAAATGTAAATGTTGCAAAATAATGTATGATGTTAGTACGTACAAATATTTTAATGAAATTTTTTTAAAAGGTCTGGGTGGTATGGTCGAATAAAGAACAACAAAACTCAGGTTTCTATAGACAGGTTTTGTTGTTGTTTATTCCATAGGTATAGTGTATATACATATATGTTATATTTTTATTGCATATAACAGTACTAATGGAATGACCTTAATCTTTAATAGTAGTGTATTTGTAAGAAATTAATAGATTCCAGGAATAAATATGAGGAGGTATTCCTGATATGAATGAATATATAATATAATTTTGTAAATACTTTTACATTTTGCCACATTCAAATTCAAATTAAAAAGTTATTTATTCATGTAAGAAATTTTTGCCGATTATGAATGTCAAATTTTTTATATTATAATTTTTCCCTACCATCCAGTTCAGTATATTTAAATTAATTATTGCAATAATGTTAAAAAATATAATATTGATTGTTACTATCTATGTATGGTATGTATAAATACTTAAACTAACTATTTAAGAATAACTACTAATATAAGAATGGCTTAACTTTTAAGCTATACATTTTCTATATACTAGAGAATTTATTCTAACAATTCTGTAATTAGTTCTGCAGATTTCGCATGTACATAAATTACCAAAATGACTATAAAGATTATTTTATGTCAACAGATTCAAATATTAATGAAAGGCAAGAAGTTGGGCAAGAAAGAAATGTTGGAGCAGTTCAAGCTATATTTGAAATCAGGAATATTTGGCTTGACAGTGGGCAGCTCATTTGTTACATTAAATTGTATATTCAGGTAATAAAATATTGAATATATTTAACTGCTATATTCTTACTATGAATAAATTTCATTTAATTACACCATATGAGTGAGAATCATGATTGTAATTAATGTAAAATCTTCTGCCACTTTTCTGTATTTTATATTAGGAGTTCACTACTAATATTATTTACTAATTTACACTTTTACACAAACTTTACTTTTATTTATGAAATGAGATATTCTAAAATAAAAGTAGCCTAAGTTACTTCTTACAACATAAGCTATCTGTGAGTTAATTACCATTGAAATCGGTCCAGCCGTTTCAGAGACTAATAAGAATAAATAGACAGACAGATAAAAAGTTTTTTAATATATTTTTGGATCTCAGTACCATATAGATATGTATTTAGTGAAAAGCTGTTAATTTGAAATTATAACACCCTTCAATCTTATTTGTTTGTTTAGATATAGTCCTAATGCTTCTATATTTTTGTTAGGAAGCTGTTTTTCAGTCAGTTCTCATACTACACAACAGTGCTGCTTCCATGTACCATCAGTGGGCTTGCAGTTTACTTCGAGCCTCCACATAGAAGAATACTTGTTTTAAATCTATTTGCTAATTTGGTAAGTACAATAATGTTGACATAGTTTCTTGTCAGTTGTCGATAATTGTGAATATTGATGAAATGAGAACAAAGTCAGGGGAGGCAGCCCATTGTGGCGAATTAACTACGATAGTTTCGATCTATTATTTCTGGAAGTTGAGCTACAAACCCACAAACTACTATATCTTTCCAGAAAAACGCAATTTCATCGAATTCTAAATCGTCTAAAGATACGTCTTATTAAAAATATTTTGTACATTCTATTGTAGGTATTCGAATATTGGGTGCGTACATTAGAAATGAAAGGATGGCTTCGGCGGTCCTCTGGCAGAGAAACACTCATATTCATGTTGGGTAGTGCAGTCCTTTTCTATCTTATGCGGAAAGAAAGAGAGAACGATAAACGAACTCCAATTTTCTGGTATGTAGAAATGTAAGAACTGAAACTTAATTGCATAATGCAGTAAATGTTACTGAATTGTAACAGATTAAAATTGATGGGATAATAGATAATATTTGGAATTCTCTATGAACCATTTAAGCGTTGCACATATAACCAAATGTAGTATACCCAATTGCAATTGTGAATAAGCACATAAGGATTGTTACACATGTTATTCTGTTATAGAAATGTTAAGAATTGTTAGTAAATACGTTACCTAATTAAGTCCCAGTTTTAAGGTAGAAACAATGACATATTTTTTTTACCTACTGACTCGGTAACAATCGTAATAATACATCGAGTTTCGATAATTTAACCTTGTCCGCTGTCTTATGTTGATTTGATGTCGTATGGGCTAATTTAAACAGAAACACAGTTAATTAACGTTTTTTAACGCAGTTTAGCTTGAGGTTGATTGAAATTTGATTGTGGTTTTAAAATTACATCCATTGTGGTCTAATGTATTATATAGGTTAGGGTTAGTTAGTTCTACAGAGATATGATCCTATAGACCCTATAGGATCTCTATGTCTCTGGAGAGATTCTACGATTGCTTCATATAGGGCGGGCCACCATATATTCGTCATATATAACATACCAACACACATCATATTACACATATATGCAACACACTAATAGTCGACATCACTCATTTTTGATGTAAAATATAAACACAGGTTCTTTACTCCACCGAGAGTATCTAAAGAAGTCGGAGAGCCTATAGAAGGATATGAAGGCAGAAGTCCCGCGTGCCCCCACAAGGATCCATGTATGAACTATATTTTAAAGGTAAATGTTATACTTATTCACCTTTCTGGCTATTCAGTATATAGATATTTGTGTCTCTTATCAGGATGATGGTAATTCCATCAATATCTCATAGTATTCATTGTAAGTGTACAGGGAATACATCTCCACGCGCTGGAACCTAAGTCGTCCCGTACGTTTAGATTGTGGATTGAACTACCTTACGGAGTGTTTCCTTTAAAAAATCTTAATATACATATTAACGCAACCTGTAGTCGGCAACGTGCACGTGACACCCCTGCTGTTTCAGGCGTCTATAGGATACGGTAACCGATTACCATCAGAAGGGCCGTATGGTTGTTTGCCACTATCGTAAAATTAAAAATTTATTTACTTTCAAAGTAAAGTTAGAGTATATGCTGTAATTTTCTAAAGTAAAAACAGTACACAATGTAGTATCACATATAAATACTTTAGGTCCACCTACATAAAGTAAATAGCATATGAGCTTGTCAAGTAAATCAGCTATAGTGTATATATTTTATTCCAGGGTACAGCTAAGCTGTTTGGCGTGGGCTGTGCAATGACGATGCTGCGAACTATTATTCCTCGGATACTGACCCCGGCGAAAGCTTTTAAGTCATTGAAGTTGTCGCATCTCAAGCTCGGGTTGTTCTTTGGCGGTTATATTGGCATTTATAGGGTGAGATGACCACTATACTAATATTATAAAAGGCGTGGTACGAACTTTGCTATAAAAAATAGGGGTTGATTGTGGTTCACCCTTTTAATTTAGGGTTGTTTGCATTTCTTAATGCCAAAACATAAAAAAACAAACATTAAAAAAAATCTGGCATGATTATCGCTTAGGGATATTTAAAAATAGATAATAAACTATTCTCAAATCACTATCTCTCCGTGTATACAGGTAAAATTCATCAAAGTCGTTACAGTCCTTTCAGAGAAGTATTACAACTAACACTGATACGAAACTTTTATATTCTCATAAATAAAGGTGCCTTATTTATGTAAATTATTAAATATAAAATTCTCCCGACGTGAAGACCCGGTTAACAATGTAAATAATGTGTCTTAAACATGCAAGTTTAAAAATAACTGTAACATGGCTTCTGATAAGTTAGTTGCAATAAAATTAGTAATTTAAACACTTGTGACTTTATTTTTTGCAAACTAATTTATCGTAATTACGTAGTCACGTAAACGCTGTCTAATAGTAGTGTACGTGGATATAACTATTGAATGTAATTATAGTTTAATTTTCTTATTTGCATGCGTCCTTGTACGCCAATCAATTTCGTTACTCTGAGATTACCTTGAAAACATTTTATCCAGTATTATTATTATCTGATTCCATTTGTACATGCGTACTTAGTATATTTAAAGTCTGTTATGTTTTGTGTTTTTATGAAAATATGAAATATTTTTGTACTTTCATTAAAAGTATGTATATCGCTGGTGTTCTTAAAATAGAAATTAATGTAACACTAATGTAATGTCTGTCTATATCTGTAAGTATATGAAAATAGAGCATCGAGAAACTAAAAGATCGTGAGTTCTGACAACTCCAATCGCAACTGGCATTTACAACTTCGCCGGATAATATGAGGCGAGTGCAGATGACACTCCAAATCCGCGGAAGGACTTATGGTGCTGAAGGTCAACTCCCGCCTGACGGATACGACTTTAGTCTGAGGTCACCCTTAAGGGTTCCCGTAGGGAATCTCGGCTCAGGCTGACGTAATTTCGATTCCGTTTCGAATTGGACGTGGGATCGATCGGTGTCAGTAAGCGTGATGTAGACGAAGTCGCGCTGGTCAGATAGTTTATTAGTAGCCTGAAATAAATAAATAAAATATGTATTATCATTGTTTCAGTTGGTGGTGTGCCTACTATGCCGGTCGCATGGCCGAGATAGTGCCCTATTCGCTGCGCCCGCGGGTTTCCTCGCCGGACTCGCGTTCAGGGCTGCCCCCTCTACACCTATTGCGTTGGCACCGCTCACTTCTAGTTTACAGGTTTAAATTTATAATGTTATGCGAAGGAACGCGGATCATGTCTTATGGAAAGTGTATAATGTGAATGTCTTTTATTCATATATTGAATAAAAGAAGAGTATGTTCAGATATGACGACCGATAGAGAGCAGTGGAAGAGAATGACATACTGCGCCGACTCAAATAATGGGATAAAGGCAAGGCAATGATGATGATGATTTTTTAAGTTCACTCTCTCACTATTTGATAAAGCTGACATATTATACATTATATCATTCCGTAACAATCCCCATATGAATTAGTTTTGTCTTACAGCAGTGAGGAGTTGGTCGGTCAATTACAAACACGGCTTCGCAACCCCGGCAATATTAGCAATCTCTTACAAGTTGTCTGTAAGAAACTGCTAATAGCGATAAGACCTCGTTTTGTAAACATTTTCATTGTACTGTACAAATTATATTTCATGTTAATGTAGTTTTCTGTATGTCTACTAATCTGGTCTAAAAAGCTTAGACTTAATTTATAAAACATTTTTTTAATAATAGCAGAAGCCAAGAAGTAAATAAAGTTATTTTTGCAGATTCTAAGCTCCTGGGCATACCAAAAAGGTATGATCCCTGAGCATTGGCCGGTGGTGGAGATCCTCTACTGCCTGTGCCAGGGGCTGCTGTTCCACGCGAGGGTGATGCACGAGGATGTTTGTCCGCGGTACATCATCAATTTGATGCACACTGTTACCAGCTCTAAGTGAGTATTACTCGTGTTTTTTTATATTATATTTATATAAAAAATACTAGCAGAGTACTAGTATTTTATACTAGAGGTCATTTATAGATATGTATGACTGTATGAAGTAATTTTATTATAAGGAAAGTAAACTTCACTTATAAGAGGGAGACTGTATAAAGCCGCCTGGATATATGTGTCTCTCTCATATATTTCAGCGGTCAAACTTGACTTATAAACTGTAGAATAAAGGTACTATATGAATTTTGAACAGTATATAGTCAATCCTATAGCTGAGCAGTTTGAATAAAACATTTTATTTTTCTAATTATTTCTTCAAATTTCCACTTAACTTTTCGGTAAAAATATTCAGTATTATTACTATGTCCTATTTGGCTTTAAACTTAGTATATATTTATTATAACCTTGTCATCATTATGCCTCGTGCTCAGTGGTAGTAACAGTATAGCACTTACTTCCCGTAGTTGCGGATTCGATTTCTCGCACAGTACTAACATTTATATTTATGAGCATGATCTTTGTTTGTATTGGTATTTACAAAACAAAGTATTCATATATAGTGGCCTAGCACTATTTCGAGATAACTCTCCTTTTATGCTTATTATTCATGATTAGTATTGTATATTTTTAATCGACTTGCAGTGTCCATTAATCTGTGCAAACTCTTCGATTCCAATAAAACATTTTTACATAATTTTTCTTTATTTTCAGGGCTGACGAAATTCAAAGTGCTTTTATACAGAAGATGCTGAAATCACTGTGAGTCTCATTTTAGCGACTTTGGCAGAACTATCCACCATTTTATATGTATAGGTCAATTAAATTAAGAATCTCTAAACTGCAACTTAAAATTTGTAAAAGCAATACTATGTCATCCGATAGGTGAGGTCAATCTGTCGAATATCATGAATAAATTGGCATTTGAATAAGCTAGTTAAGTAAATTAACATGTTTATGTTTTTAAGGAGAAGGCACGTTTTCGACTCTATCAATTTGGTGATAAGTACTGTAATGCGGTAATCTCGATTTTAACAAAGGTACCCTACATTTTTTATTTATAAATCGTAATAGGACGTTTACACTCTTGCGCTTAACGAGACACGAGTGCTTGATCTATCTGTCCCGATAGTGTAAACGCACTATACGATTAAGGTGTTTTAACTGTATAATTATATAGTTACATCGTGACGCATTGAGGAACGTAGATCGGAGTGAGATGACTTGTAGTGTGATATACGCCTCAACATCCAATATAGTAGACAATGTCTAATTATATTCTGATTATAAGTTAATTACTGGCTAAAATAATTTGCATTCGATATTCAAATATGTTAGTAGAAACATCATAATGAATGTTAAGGTATAACGCTTATGTATTAAATGATATGTAGACTTATTATACTTAGGTTCTAATTATCGAATAAACGAATATGGAATGCGAATTATTTTAATTTAAATAAATTAATAAAATTGCAAGTGCAACTTTAGACTTAATAACAATCTGTATAAAGTGGTATTTTAAAGAAATCAATGGTATTATTTGCTTTCATTGCAACCTAAACTCAAAGAACAATTTTGTTCTTAGTGGCTAGTATAAAATGACGGATCGCGTCACCTGACTTACGTCATATCGTACAATAAGTTTGTGATTTTATCAATTAGAAATTGCTACAGTTGAACTTCCAACCATAGTCGTAGGTAGTAGTAAATAATGAATAGGCTGTACTCTGAGAAGTTGCAGAACAAAAATATGTTTTATTTCGTAGCTATGAGGTTTCAATTTGTTTGTGTTTATTGTATTATTTAAGCGAGCATCTGTGATTATTATATTAAGAATATTATTAACGTTCTATGGAAACAGGTGTTATTTAATTTCGATCTGGGTATTATTTTTAGTAGGTTTCGGTTACTTAATTAAGACGAATGTTTTTACAGTCCAGCCGCTCAGAGTTTGTGTTTCGGGCGATGTAACTTTGAACTGTGTACAATTTACGGCAAAATTATAAATATGTTTTATTTGTCATATTAACGAGTAATAACATTAAAAATTTCATCATTATTCCAACTTACAATAAACGTATTAATTTTGGGATATTTTAAATTATAAAAACAATAGTTTTAAAACAACGCTGTTCAAGCTTATGGTAATTATTTGTTTTTAAAGGGATGTGACTAAATAACCTTGAAACAGCGCAGTTTGATGTGGGTTTGATTTTTTAAAACTATGTACGTACGTCAGTTCAAAGTTATATCGCTCATTTGATTGCGACTTGTCCAAAACGCTAATTGAGCGGCCGGACTTTAAAAGCATATTAATTAAGGTTTTTTAATCTTTAGTCTTAATAATTGTATTAATTTGTCAAAGTATTTTCAAAGTGTACTTACTCCAGTTAAATATTACGGTGTGGTATTACTATTTTAAAAGCTTTTTAAATGTTTTTATTTTGATTACTCTTATTTATTTATTATGCAGTATTTTGACAGTATATTCATATATAAATCCGTCGAATATTTAAGAAAATATTACGGTACCTATAGTATTATATTTGAAAAGTGTATTAATTATAAAATGCTTCTATTTTCAGTATTTATATTTATTTATTCGAATATTTTGACAGTACACTCAAATTCATCGAATATTTATAAAGATATTACTATGTGGTATTACGTTTTTAAAAGTGAGTCAATTATGATATGCATTTATTTTCACTAATTGTATTTAAATCAAAGTATTTTGCAGTATACTCAAATAATAATTTTCATCGAATATTACGACTAGACATTACGTTATAAGCGTATTAAGTATAAAATGTTTTTTTTACTAATTGTATTTAATTATTGAAGTATTTTGACAGTATAATTATTTAATAATTTTTGATCGAATATTAACAAAAATTACGAAAGTATAAAATTAGCCTTACAATATAGGTGCTGTTCAAGCCAAATTCTAGAATATTTAATTATCATTTTAGTTGTAAGCACGATTTATACTCAAATAACCAGAATTTTGTAGTTAGCTAATATTTCTTATAAAGTTTATTTTACGCTTGTACCATTAGAAGTGTTTGTTATATTAATTATAAGGTAATAACTGAATATATTAATAATAGTATCTCTGTTAATTGATACAGGAGTTGTGTAATACATTATCCTATTTAAAGGATCATATATAATAATAATATAATTAGAACATGCCACTAAATATTAAGACGAATGAAAAATATCTGCTACATGTTAAAAAATATGATAAAGTAATTAATCCTGGACGGAAAAATGGTACATATTTACAGTATGGACATAATGGCAAATTTTAGCTAAGTAAGGTTTTAATTTAGTATAATACGAAGCCTCGTTTTGTTGATCAAATATTCGTTTTTATCGCTTAGGTGAATCTTTTCAAATAGCAGTTTTATTTATAAACTGTTATAAATTATAATCTCAAAAAAACAAATGTTTTTATTTAAAGAACTTTTATTTTTAACTATATTGGTAGTATTGTATTATCATGTAGGCAAAATATTTTTATTTATTAAAAAATAAAATTAATATATATTATTTAGCCTATACCTTATATATTATATATATGTACTGTAGACCTTGTAATTTAGTAACAATGACTAGAAATATGTCATCCACATATTGGGCTAAGTTCTAACGTGACTCCTTCTGTAATAATGTTTTTATATAATTACAAAATAAATGAGGCATTTAAATATTTTGACTCAGTACTATTATGGTATATGTAGCCAACTTTAAATCTGAATGTTTCCTTATCTATATATAATTCAAAATATGTTTGTATTTTATTTTGTCAATTACAAATCTAATACTCTTGTTCGTGTAGGGAAATATAAAATTTTGCTTATATCAGTAGTAATCATTGCATTTTTAAACACAATACTCTGATATAGATGTTAGTTTATTACATAATAAACATTAACAATATACAAAGATGTTTGAAATAAAAGTTTCAAACATACGATTTACATTATGAAACTCATGCATTTAAATTTGAAAATCTCTAGGCATTTTTTTTATTATAGATACAGTTAATTAGACATTTTGTCCTTATTTGATACGAATCACGAAGCACTGATATTTGTGCTAGAATTTGTTAATATTGTCACTTAAATATTAATTAATGGGAAGAATATTTAACCAAGTACAACAGGTGTGTTCGATTCGCCATTTTGTTTTATAATATTCATAGATTGCAGTGGTGTATTGTTTAATATTTATTAGATAACAGTTTTTGAAAAATCATGATGGCGAATTTTTATATGTAAGCAATAGTTTGTATAATATGCTTCCATTAGTTGATGCTAGGACAAAAAATTATTCGAATTGTGTATATTCCGAGACTATTTCTGTCACCACTGATTATAGGTGATAGGAGCGAGATAGTAGATCATATTTTGTGCACATCCGCTTTTCACGAATACCTATTAATACGTTGTTACAATTTGACACTTCAACAAGTTTGTTATATTTTTCTAATAAATAATTATGACTAATATTGATTTTCATTTATTGTATCATTTTTAATGAGTATATTTCCCATTGTTTTGCTATCTTGTTGTGGGATACTTCTTAATATTTTTGTTAGTATGTACAGGTACCATGGACTATGATGAAAGTCATTGATATTATTGTGTGGTGTGGTGTGGAAAAAAGGACAAAGTGGAAAATGAAAATAATAAACGTGAAGCAAATACATACACAACGCATTTTTGCGACAATTATGCGGATGGAGAAGTTTTATTTTTATATTACGATGGTGGCAATCCAGCCTATCTTCAGCCTATCTTATGGTAAATGGTTCCCGTAGCGTATGGTGTCACATAAGCGCTGCCTACCCTTAAGAAATCTAAATAAAAAAAACCCATGCTGTACTCTCTAGAGATAACCTCGGCAGGTAGTTCATTCCAGAATCGAAGTGCACTAAAAAAATAAAACTAGATTTAAGTTAGTAATATTTTATTGCACAATAAAAAATTTTAAGGTGCGACAAAAAACTTCATTAACTTGTTTCTAATACATGGTGACGTGTTAAATAATTTATCTACATTAAATAATAATGCTTTTGTGGAATCCCAAGCTACCTTTCCTACTATATATTCGTAGCTATTGTATCACTAATGAAACAATCTTTTTATTAAATAATTTTGTTAACTTAAGCCGTCATTCATAAAAACTAAAACCTACAAACACATTTTAATACAACGTTTTGGCGCTTTCTGCCAATTAAGAAAAAAACGGTAAGCAATGCACAACACAGTTCAAGTGCCTAAATCGATGAAATGAAAAAAATAAATTAATCTACTTCTTCAACTCGTGGTCCTCCAGAACTCTCGGGTCTGGCATAGCTGGGGCCACCTCCAGCTCCGTGGAGTTTCATCATAGCCGGCTGACAGATATACTGTGCTGACTTCAGATGTTGTTCAAGTTCCGATTTGGAGGCTTCGGGGCTAGTTTCCAGCCAACGGAGCTGATCATTGCATTCTCTAATAACCGAGTTTCTTTCGTCTTCTGTCAGCCTGCTGCTTGAATTTTCAGCTGCCTATTAATGAACAAAATATAATAATTACAAACAAAATATATTAATTTGGTTTTAAAATATCTTAGAATTTTATGAAGATTTCTTTGTCAGTTAGTTACTTAAAAAATAGTAGTAATAAATAGTTGTTTTTATATAATTAATATAAGATTTAATGGTAGGCATTACATTTAATAATTAACTCGGGACTAAATAGCAGTGTGAATTATCCTGCTATTTATATATTGCATTTTTTTGTTTATGCAGCATATAATAGTGTTTTTTCTATTGTTCAATAGTTCCAATACCAATGTCATGAATCTCAATTATAATTTTGATGTTTAACCGAGTTTCCGGTACTCGGTACAATACAATACCTCTGACCTCCTTTCCCCTCCCTCTGCATAGCTACTATGTCCCTAGATGGCGTTGTTCAGTTCTTAGAGTGCGCTTTAATTTAATTTTTAATTACCGTATGAGCATACGGTATATATAAATATGTATAAATACGCATATATATAAATACGCATATAGTAATTATGTGATCAAGTCCGTTATAATTATTTTTTATAGTAAATATGAATTCCATATATCATACCGTTTTGCATCCGTACAGGTAGCTTTCTAATTGATTTCTAACTTCGACTTTCTTCCTAGCTGCATCATCTTCAGATTTAAACTTTTCAGCATCATACAACATTTTCTCAATATCTCTCTTGCTCAGGCGACCTTTATCATTTGAGATCGTGATGTGCTCGGATCTCCCTGTGCTTTTATCTTGAGCGTTTACATTTAAAATTCCATTGGCATCCACATCAAAAGTTACCTGAAAGCCAAGTTTTAGTTTGCTAATATGTATCCCTCATTCGATTATTTATATGTATAAATACTTAGAATATCTTTTTATTTGCAAAAATCTATAGTATTGGAGAGTAACTTAATTTGTATTTTATTCATTTCTAGCTATTGACCGTAACTTCTTTCGGCTTTTATTATAATGTAGTCTATAACCTCGTAAACTAATTTATCACGCCAAATTTCATTAGGATTCGTTCAGCCGCCATGAAAAGGTAACAAATATACAGACAGATGGACTGTTTCGAGTTTATAATACCAATATGGATTTAACATTTTCATTTTTCATACCAGCCGAGGAGGGTCCTCTAGTCGACAGTAAAAACTATTGATTCATTTAATAAAAATAACTGACCTCTATTTGTGGGACTCCTCTGGGAGCTGGTGGTATTCCGGATAGATTGAAAGTTCCCAATAAGTTGTTGTCTCTTGTCATCGCTCTCTCCCCTTCATACACCTATAATTGCAATATATGCCTCTAGGTATATGTCGTTTAGTGGTTAATTAGGTATCTACATATCCTTGCAGAAACTACTTACACAAATAGCATTAAATAGTTAACGTTTATACCTGAATCGTTACAGCTGGTTGGTTGTCAGAATATGTTGTAAAAATTTGTTTCTGTGCGGTTGGTATTCTCGTGTTTCTTTCTACTAAACAGGTCATAACACCTCCAGCCGTTTCTATACCCAGAGAAAGAGGCGCAACGTCCACCAACAAAACGTCTTGAATGCGAGTATCTTTAGATCCGGTCAAGATTGCTGCCTGTACAGCTGCACCATATGCCACAGCTTCATCTGGATTGATCGAGAGATTCAGTGTTTTACCGTTAAAAAAATCCTGAAATAAAATCGGCATTTGTTTTTATTTAAGCAATCATATATGAGTAGAGTCACCATAGTGAAGCAACTTTTAAATAATTTTTTGATAAAAAATATTAGATGCTCAACTACTATGGATGGATTTTTAAGATATTTAATATGTGAAAAGCCATTGTGTAGCGTAAGAAGTTAGTTCAAGAAGACCCGAGGAATCAGGTAAAAGTTCAGTGATAGAATTGATATATCAAATACCTGCAACAATCTTTGAATCTTTGGTATACGTGTAGAACCGCCAACCATAACTACATCATGAATTTCTTTTATACTTAATCCTGCGTCTTTCAATGCTCTCTCAACTGGACCGAGTGTTTGTCTAAATAAATCAGAACACAATTCTTCGAAACGAGCCCTCGTAATTTTTGAATAGAAATCAATACCTTCATGTAGTGCGTCTATCTCCAAACTCGCTTCTGTGCTAGAAGAAAGGGTTCTCTTTGCTCTCTCACAAGCTGTGCGAAGTCTTCTTAACGCTTTAGGATTATCTTTAATGTTCTTTTTAAATTTTCTCTCAAATTCTTGTGCAAAATGGTCTACCATTCTGCTGTCAAAATCTTCACCTCCCAAATGAGTATCACCAGCTGTGGACCTGACTTCAAAAAGAGAACCTTCAGCAATTTGGAGAATTGAAACATCAAATGTCCCACCGCCAAGATCGAATATTAGTACGTTCTTCTCTCCCTTTAGATCTTTATCTAATCCATAGGCAAGAGCAGCTGCTGTTGGTTCGTTGATGATTCTGAGAACATTTAATGCAGCTATTGCACCAGCATCTTTAGTTGCCTGACGTTGGGAATCATTAAAATACGCTGGTACAGTTATAACAGCATCTTTGACGGTTCCGCCTAAGTAAGTTTCTGCAATTTCCTTCATTTTTGATAGAACCATCGACGATATTTCTTCTGGAGAAAACTTTCTTTTCTGTCCTTTATATTCTACGATTATCTTTGGCTTTCCACCATCTGATACTACTTCAAAAGGCCAATGTTTTCTATCTTGTTGAACCTTTGGATCATCAAACTTTCGGCCAATTAGTCTTTTTGCATCAAATACAGTATTTTTTGGATTCATAGCTACCTGAAATAAAAGATTGGACATATCATTCAGTGTTCCAACCTATTTGACTAATGTGCGTGTGTTATTGAATGGAAGATTCAATGAATAGTAAGCGCAGACCATTACGCGACCCTAGTCTCACCCATATTTACCATGCGTCACTGACCTTTCATGCTTCAATAGTTTTATTTGTATAAAAGCTGACCCAGAAAGTTATATTAGTTCCCAAAGTCCATCCAAAGAATGACGGGCTAAGTTTTAATAGTCCCACTAAATTAGTACATTCTTGCATTTCAACTTCCGAACTAAATTAATCAGCAATGTCGAAATACCCATTTATCTAGCAATATTGTAACATAACATTTAAGTAGGTAATAATAATATGATATAACCGTAACTTACTTTAAAGTCCCCCTATTTTAAAAGGTAATTATTTACTTTTACTTTGTATTCTACTGAGAGAGTAATTAGGCTCAAAAAGTTGTGTTCGAGTCCGGTTAACACCAAAAAATGTGCCTATATTTCTAACTCTCCGGTGATAGAAGTACTGTTAACCAGAACTAACCGAGTATAGTTGGTAGTCACGCCTCTTGTCATGTAGGATTCGTATATACGTACCCAACGTACATCAGGTTCTATTGACAGACTTAATTAAAAACAAACACCTATAGGAATCAAAGGCGAATATGCATCAACGTTCGAGAACAAGGAGAATGGATTTACATAAAGTAATAATTCTTTCACACTAAGGAATCAAACGGTGATACTTTACAATAAGTTACCGAAATAACTTAAATTATTAAATAAATTGAGTTGTTTTACAAAGAAATTGAAGTCAATGGACGATCTTTGAGATATTTTATTATAATGACATTTATTACGTCAATTTATAAATTTATACTTATCAACTATGATATTAACATTAAAATACAATGTACATTGTGTATGTATAAATAAATAAAACGAAATATTTCATGGAAACGTCGACAGTTAACAATGCCTCTAGCTACCCTATTTAGGATTATTATTCTAAAATGTACCTTCAAGACGAAGGTATATTTTTGAATATCACTCACCTGATTTTTAGCTGGATCTCCAATCAATCTCTCTGTCTCATTGAATGCGACATACGATGGTGTTGTCCTATTGCCTTGATCATTGGCGATGATTTCCACTTTGTTGTGTTGAAAAACGCCCACGCAAGAATACGTTGTTCCCAAATCGATTCCGACTGCGGGTATAGTCATGTTCGCTCATCAAATTCTGAGGGTCAAGGTAAAACTTTATTCGTAACACATTATATTGATTATGCATTAAGCATTGGATAAATAGTGTGATTTTATTGACTTTTCATATGTATTTCAAAAGTACTCATTTTTTCGGACTACTCTAATGCTGTTGGCTGCAGCTGGCCTTTACAGCTTCACCGGACGATAGGGAGCGAGTGCGAATAGCACTACAAACCCGCATAAGGACTTATGGAGCGGCTGAAGGCCAATTCCCCCCTGACGGATACGACTTTAGTCTGAGGGCACCGCTAGGGGTACGAACCTCTTATCAGGCCATCTTATCAAATTTCGATTTCCGTATGAATTGGATGGGACATAGATCGGAGAGGTAATATTGATTACTGATTTCAATAAAAAATATTGTTATATTGATTGTATTTTCTACTAGCTGTACCCGCGACTTCACCCGCTTGAAATTTATTTTTCTAAAGTAAAAGAATTTTTCTAAAATAAAAGTAGCCTAAGTTACTCCTTATTACATCAGCTATCTGCCAAAAAAAGTCCCGTCAAAATCGGTCTAGCTATTTCAGAGATTAGCCGGAACAAACAGACAGACATAAATTGTAAAAAATGTTATTTTGGTGTATGTACCGTATTTGTATTCATATGCTTGTAGTAAAAAAATAGTTACTTCAATATTATATACAGACACTCCAATTTTATTTATATAGATAGGTAGTGTTTTAAAATAAACATTAATGGGTTATTTTCAAGAGACACGACCGAATGAACCATTTTACCTTTACTCTTAAAAAATGTAATAAATTTGTGATACATATCTATTTTATCTAAGAAAAACCTATCAACTATTAATTATCTTATATACGGATGGGTTGAGAAAATCATAATACTGGCAAAATGACGGCCTCGGTGGTCTTGCGATTTAGCAAGTCGCGTTACTTCTGATAGTTGCGGGTTCAATTCCTCAAACCTTCGGTACAAACAGTGTAATACAATTTTGTATTCCATTATTAATTTGTTACTAAATTCATCTAAAAATCTAAAAATATCCTTGGAAAGCTCTCCAAGGATATTTTCAGATTTTTAGATGATTTAATATTTCGGCAGTCAAAATAAAAGTATTATATAGTATTATATATATAAATCACGAGCGTTGATTACATTCTTCCGCTTTAAGAAACATAGATCTTAGATAATTGACTGAAAACCACAAAAGCCACAACAACAATTTAATATACTAGCTTTAATTTAATATATACTAGTTACTCGCCCCAGCTTCACAAGGGTACCTCTAACCTACTAACATTTATTATAAGCCTTCCTCTTGAATCACTATCTACTGCTAAAGACTGCATTAAAATCGGTTGCGTAGTTTAAAAGATGCAAGCGAATAGACAGCGGAAGCGACTTCATTTTATAATATGTATTCATTTTATAAAGATACTTGTAAATAAATACATAAAAAGCCAACTACCTAAATATCTATATAATTTTGCGATGTAATTTGAAATGAAAATGCTGTTTTTAAACAGTATAAATAACCTCTACATGCACAGATAATATAATATTACATACTACATGTAATCAAAAAACATATATCATGAAAAGGAATGGTTAGACTCTAATGAATAAACTCAAATATATTTATTTACTTATACTCTTTATTGCACCAAATACACATAATAATTAAAATAGTAAATATACATTAACAGATACAGAAAGCTGCTTTATCGTTAAGTAAGGACGACTTATCGAAAATAATATATTCTTAAGAACTCTTCTTTAATAGCATATACATTCCCACCAATTACTACTAGGGTGTCTAAAACGTATTTTATTAAGAAACAAATAGAAATTTCTATAATGTTAGCACACGTATGAAACCGGGGCGCGTTGCTTGTATCCGATAAAGTAATAAAATCCATTCTATTAGGATTGTAGCTATTGAACCGAAAGAAACTAAGTGGAGCTGAATTGTTAATTGGCTTGGGAAGTTTTTGTAGAGATAAAGGAAGATTAAGTTCCTTTATTGGTACCAAAGTTTGAACCATTGATCAATAAAGGGTGGGTTGTTACGTAATCCTACTTACTTACTACGCTGTATATTATATAATTTGCTTTTACACTGTGGGCCCCGTATTCATGTGGAATTATTAACGTTAATTAGAAAACTGTAGTACGTCACTTTGCTCTATTATTAATAATTTCAGCAGCGTAAATGATATAAGGATTTTTATTGGTATTTTTTTCACATGTTGAGACGATTGGAATGAAAATTTCAGTAAGGAGAATTACTGAAGTTTTTATACAGATGCCTAAAGTTTTTGAAATTATTCTATCGCCTGTGTTCATTAGGGATAACGTAGGCTTTTAATGACAGAAAAAAAATATCAAATTGATCTAGTACTTTCTAATTCTACTAAAAGGTAAACAATAAAATTATTCTTCTGTATAATACTAGTATAGATAATTAAAATACATTAAAAATGTTTGTATGAAACCAACTGAAATACTTGCCATATACCTGTTATTAGTTCAACTGTATTTTAAATAGTGGAGTGAAACTACGCATTTTGGATTACTTATAACGAGTTTCGTTATAAGTAATCCAAAATGCGTAATTAATTGATCGAGTTCTGACAACATCATAGAAGTATAAATTACATTAGTATAATTAGTATAATTTATCTACTAAACTAAAATTAATCTCAATTAGTTACAGACTTAAACGCAATAAAGTAAAGTCTTAACTCCAGTACTTACAGTACTATCCCCAGAAATGTCACTCAATAAATGAACTTTAGTAACGAGAGAATAATACTCATATTAGCTTTTTTAGCGATATGATTTAGGTATACGTTGATTTGGGCTGTAACCAACTACCACTCTACTCGATTTTTCCGTACCAACTGTAAACCGCATTACGGCAGAGGCATACGATTCGTACCATGACAACAATATACATATACCTATGTGCTATGGTGTCTATAACTCAAAAGGCCGCACACATAAATGTAAAACGGCTTTGTTGTTGCGTTGTACATACTATGGTAGCTATTTAGTTTAGAATCTGAAAGTATTTTTGGTCTTTGACTTATACGGTTATGATTTTAAGGCTGTATATCTCCGATTCCTGCCCATACTTAACGAGCTTCTCTGAAATTTGCTACAATAACTAATTAAACTCGATGAAATTTTGTGCATAGGATACGCAAACTAATATCAATATTTCACTAGACAGAAGACTTTTCTTAAAACGAGTGTAATTTAGAATTCCACGTAACTGAAAACCTCTATTTTTACCAAAGAAAGGACATATATTTAGCTCAGTCGTATGAACAATCCAAGAAAGCATAAAAATTGGAAAGAATATGCATGTCATTGTAATTATATTGAATTTTCAGAATAACGAAAAATGTACCTTCATATTTACTGTAATAATAATCTGAGTAGAGCGGAATGTAAATATTTAAGGCAAAAATTTGGATTGAAAGTAGCGCGCTTGGGTGAGAGAAGACGCAAAGTGTCTGAATAGAGAAAACACGAATAGTGAAGAATACCTACATAGTCATTTTATTAATTGGACACCCAATGATCTTGAATAATTATTCGAGCCATTAGTATCCTCTGCCAGGGCACCATAAGGATGAATGTGAATAAAAGCAGGTTAGCCATCGTTGCCAGCAATTACGGTTAACAGCCTTATAAATGGCACTCGTAATGCGGATGGTCAGGGAATGTGGAAAGAATATTGTACAAGATATTAATGAAACAGGCATAACATCTTAGTAGAATGGTCTGTGGTGCTATTCATTTTCAGACAGTTGGTACTGTTAGCTGGAGCTATTCTAATTACATAAAGAAATATAAGTATAGGACGAAAGTAAGACAAGTGAATATAGAGAAGTAGAAGGTACCGTCAGAGGTTGATGACAAAATTTTAATGAATCAACTGATAAAAAGTTGTAGTACAAATTTCTCTGTTTTTAAAGATAATCAAATAAGTGTATCATTTCTAAAAGTGTTGTTCAAAGGTTCTGTTTGATATTAAGATAAAATTAATATTTATGGTGTGATATTAAACAAGCTATTTCTCAGAATGGTGTTTCACACTTTACGTTAATTACCCCTTAATGTCGTAATTAAGGATTTCAGACTAAAATGGAAAAGAAATATTGTCCTACATTTAAGTTTAGATGGCACAATTAGAGAAAATAGGTAAATATTGGGGACGATTATTTTAGGTAGGTACCTAAAGCGTTTACGCAAAGTTACATACCTATAAAAAGTTACATATTTTAATACATATGTACATTTGCTCAAAGGATTAAAATATAAATTGATTTTTATAATTCATTTACAAAATTAGGTGTTTTTTCGTCAGGTTTTTCATAGAGTACCTACCTATGCATATATTTAATTCATGAATTATAAGAAGGAAGGAAAATTCATTACTAAACGCAAATGTTGATACCGTAGTACATCGAACGGCACTGCTAGCGAATTGCTATTGATTTCCAATTCACCATTTATTGTATGTTTGGTTATTTGACTTTGTTCCTACATAGTTGCTAATATTACTTAGAAGGTACTTACCTACACTGTTGCCCAATTAATTCCTTATACTATATTAGTATCTTGTTATATTTTGTAATCAAGTAACACATATTACTTGTATTTAATAATTTCCCATTTTTTTTAATATTATTATTTTCTTTTTTGACTTTGACATTCACTCATAATGCTTATTGTTTATAGAAAATAGTTTTGAAATTGGAAACAGATTTCTTCCAACAATTATATATATGGAAACTTTGTATTTTCATATTATTGTGCTCAATAAAGATGAATCTCAAATTTGATGCATTATAAAAAATTGTGGTTAGATTAGTTCCTGTTCAGTGAATAAATTGTTTTGATTCAGTGTATGTAAAGATTAAAAACTTGCAATTCATTTCATCCAATTCATTACTATCACATATGTTCAATCCTAGAAATGAAATGGACATTTTACTTTATATGAACATAAGGTAATAAATAAATATATAAAATATTCAATACATATATGTAATGAATAACAGCAACGCACTTAGTTTTTCCTATACTTTTTATTAACATAATGATATAAGTATTTATCTAACAATAATGGAACAGTGAAAATGGAACAGGTATTTTAGATAACTATATACTGACTAACTAATGCAAAATAGGTACACAATGAGGCGTATTTCTGTGAAATAATAAAAATAACAGTTATCTCTTTCCCTTTTTCTTCTTCTTGTTGAAATCTGGAGGATGAAATCCTCTAGCTTGGAGCAGTTCCTGCACATTGTGGCACGCGTAGTACACGTTGTTCATTGCGGCGTCAGTTAACATGTCGATGTTGCATTTCCCTTTCGATTTGCCCTTTTTCCCTCCTTTTTTGGCTTTAGTTTCACCGGCATCTTCTTTTTCTTTTTTTTCCTTCTTCTTATTTTTGCCTTTGCCAGCCATTACGATTTTAAATATAAATATGTAATGGTTGCTAGTTTATATCGATTATACGGATTCTGTTATTTACAGTTACCATGATAACAAGTAAATACTGATTCGTAAATTGTTCAGAAAGACAGTATCACGTTTAATTCTCTTTCTATTTGAAAGGAAGTTATTCTGATCAATTGGGAGTTTGGGCATCCTTCAAGACAATAAAGAGGGTTAAAAAGGTACTTTGTATTAAGACTTCATTTAATCCATCCTGGAGATTATCACTTTTTGTATCAAGTACAAAATACTTTATTGTAATTTACTACCATTACTATCTTTTCTAGATTTTTAATGCCCCATGCAAAAAGAGGTGTTATAGATTTGACATGGCTGTATGGCATTTTGTAGCTTCTAAAGGAATGGACCGATTTTGATGAGTTTTTTTATTTGAAAGCTGATGTAACAGAAATGTTTTTATTCGGGAGTTACTAATAGTTATTTCTTTAATTTTTAATTCTTTTTAGACTACCTAACACCTGTAGCACGGCACGTCTATTCTGTGTACAAGAACATAAAGATCTTATCAAAAGGAGTATTTATTTATTTATATACATTATTTTATATTATACAACGGCTCTCTGAGCACATGTTCGACTTCCGGACGATGTAACGCACTAGTGCCGACCGCTGGTGTTGCCGCTTCCGCCCGCCCCGCATACACCAACTGTTAAAATAAAGAAAAACCATCAACATCAAGTTTTGTTTCATATTTATATATAACACATAACCGATATCTCAAAATATACAAATGCCGACTGAGGTGTGGGACGTAAGGAAATGGCGGTCTTTTGAATGTTGCCATTGGATAAATTACATAAAATCTGTCTTTATTGATGCCTTTTTGTATTACCCCGTTTTTCATCTTCCCTTCACTCACCCTAATACAAATCCATTAAAAAATAATCACAGAGTAGTGCACCCGTCTACGCAAACGGTATATGCTGATTGGACATCGTATCCACTATCATATCAACAGCCAAAAGTTAGGTAACTTCTTCCTTTTGGTCAAATAACAGAGAAAAAAAAGTCTTTTTTACTGACTAGATATATTTCACATACTATTTAGAAAATTTCTTCGTATTATTCTTATAAATTTTAAGCGGGAATATTCACAAGTTGCTGTCGATCGACCTCATGAATGGTCGCTATTTAAATTCAATTTTTCTTAGCTATTCAAATATCCTAATTGAATAATAAAATATTCAAACGTTTCAGAAAATTTGACATTCAAAACATTAGAATAATTTCCACCGGGATGGTAAGAAAATTGGGTAATATTTGGCGAACCGTTTGGCTCGCCTGGATATCTGTCGTATTTCTGAGATTACACCTATTTCTGAAATGAAGTTATATTGGAAGTATAATATAAAATGAACTCCTAAATTGAATTTAGAACTGTAGTCTTTTGGAACTGAAATCTAGTAGATTGATATAAAGCACTTATAATTATGACAAATTTCGATCATCTATTATTTCTGTTTGATGGCTGAGATATGGTAGTTTACACTTTTACTTTAGTAGAAATAGAAATAATCTTTATTCAATTAAACTTAATATAAGCACTTTTGAATAGACACATTTTTTTATAAATGTGTAGATTTAAATTACTAAGGATTAGGTATGCGACAAAATATAGTCCTCAAAAATAGCAGTGAGGGTGCCAGAGATACATATATTGTAATTTTTATAAATTTATGTTTATTACTTATTATTTAATAACAAATTTCTTTCTTAAGTTACATTTTTTTGCAAATACATAATATACATTGAAATTACTTAGAGCGATACAAACAATTATACTCATGAATACAAATATCTGTACCGTACGAGGAATCGAACCCACGACCATTGGAAGTAACGCAGTATGCTAAACTGCTAGACCACCGAGGCCGTTAATTATATAATTATTGATAAACCAAAACTGCAAATATATAAAAGTACAATAATATGTTCAATATATATGGTATTAAATCTTAATATCGTTTGAAAAATTACTTAATTATCAATCGCTAACACCGCGACTCAAACATGACAAGAGAAATATTTTTTTCTTCTCCAATATTATACCAGATGCCTTCCCAAGGAGCGGTTATTAATATTTGACGGAAAGGGACGGAGGTAACGGTTGGTTTCATTCCATTTATTAAATTGTCTATGAGGTATTTCAATAATGCATTATCTGGCAAAAGTTTTTGCTTACTATCGAAAAAGGGACCGTTATAATAGAAGAGACTTTTGTTTATACGACGAAGGTGCTATTAGCGAATAATCAAAATTTCTTCGTAGTAGCACAGATAAGATGATATTGTAGTATTTTAAATGCCAATCAATTAATAAATACAATGTCAGAGACATTCATACACAGTCGCCACTATAATACTAGTTGTGTTGTGTTATAGTGTTGCGTACACATACAAATATAAACACACCCACACATGAACAAACACATAATTTTGACGGGACTATCACTCGATTAGATCTAGATTTTAGATTTTTTTATATATTTTAATAAAGCAATCTTAAAATATGCTGTGTGAAAACGCGTCCGGAGTTGCGGGTCACAGGTAGTTTACTTCATAACTTTTGTTATTATTATTAACACTAACATTTTTTTTCTACTTATTATACTGACATTTTGAAAGAAATACTTCTGCTGGGAGTAAATTGGGTATATATAATAACTTTAAGGATATGTTTAGCTCTGTTAGGGCTCTTTAGTATTTATTGTATTGAATGTTTATTTTAACTACCTTTCGTCCAAGTAAATTCTCGAATCTCGGCCGGATGAAACTCCACGCTCCCATATTTCTGTGTTCCTCTTGGCTCCATATGAACTCTAGAAAGAAACATCCAAGAATTTGGTTACCTTGTACATATCCTACATCTGTTAACATTAATTAATTATTAAAATTAATTAATAATATTATTATTATTTAATGTAATATTAGTCGGGACTTACACTATAGTCGCAATATAAATTTGTTCTTGTAATTTTAACTACCGAATACAATAAACCTTTTTTTATGTTAACAAACAGGCTATAAATTATTCCTCCTTTATTCGTTTATGACCGAAATCAGAAACAAAACACATAAAATGCTCTCGTAAAGTGGAATAAATGTTTGAAATAGTTTTTTTAGTGCCTATGTAAAAATATTAATATCTTCTATAGACCTAGCACCAAATAATTCTTCTTTACGTAGTATAAAATGAAGACGTCGCCGCTGTCTTTTCGCCTATATCTTTTAAATTACGCAATGGATTTTAATGCAGTAATCGACAACAGATAGAGTGATTCAAGAGAAAAGTTTATATGTATAACACATGTCTGTTATAGTATAGAACAAGCCGAGAAATTCAAAGATTTGTAATGTATTGCTGTTAGGCGGCTGATCCCGTTTGGGTTTTTAAAAAAAACTTTTTTAACACACAACACAAAAGTCACTTAATTTTAGATAGTTTATTTCGAAAATGTATTATATTAACTTATCTCAAGCTATGTAGGTGCAATCGAAATGACTTATCGACGCGGACTGAATCGACTAACTGTCTAACTGTTTTTATATAACGATGTAAATCGGGAATTATTCAGGCTCAGCATTTTCTCTGTATTGGGCTCGGGCATAACAGTGCGAAGCTGCTACGTCAGGTCGGGTAAAATATAAGATTTGCTAGTTTATTCTGAAATAAATTGCTATCCAATCCAAAAGTGGAACATTAATCCAACATATTATTGCGTTGATTAACACCTTCAAACGGTCTTGAATTCAATTAAAATCAGTTTAATTTCGATTAAAGCAGCAAAGTATTAATTCAATATTTCGTTTTCAATGAAATAAAATTTAGACTTGATTACGCTTCAAAAGAACAGTACAAAAATGGATTAAATTTAAATCCATACTGAGCTCAGTCCTCCTGTAGATTATGTTATTAGGAGTCAGTTGGTACCTATTTTGTCTAAACGACAAAACGATTACTGATTCTAATAATTCTTTTTAATCATAATGTAGATTGCTTTCAAAATATACCTACACAAAAAATGGAGAGTCAATATTGAATTTTTTAGTAATAATATAGAGAATAGTAAATTTAGCCTTGAAAACACCCTCGGTTTTTAAACGGACGTCTTACAATAGCGGCTGACATTCATCCGTGTTGTAACATGACTGATGACTACCAAATCTGAGAGAAAGAGGGGATGCGGAATAAACTTTTTGATAGGTCGAAAAGAAGCAGAATGTTCTTAAAATTTAGACTTTATTCCATGTCATTCTTAGGCATTTCTGCCTCATATAATTTTATCATAAAGTAGCTTACTTTATCAGCTAGGTTTCGGTTAAAGGTTGTTGTGTATTCAGAGCCATTTAAATAAATTAATACATAATGTATATTGTCTTTGGGTTACGCTCTTTGTATGGTAGTCTTTGTGTTATGTCAGATACATAATAGTTCATAGTAGTGTCTAATAGTAAAATATAACAAACTATTATAATTATAAAATTTAGTTAATAGTAAGTAAGTCTTTGTTTATATTAAGGGGCATAGAGACGTAACTGAAATTGCCCATCTATCGGATAACTTTATATACATCAACGAAACAATTTAATGACCAGAATATATAATTAAATAAAAAAAATTAACCAGATAAGATTCGTAAACTTGTTTAAACTTACATAAACAATTGCTAAGAAAATTTGTGACAATCTTGTATTTAAAAGTGCAATAATGAATATATATATATAAATAGAACTGATACACTTTGGCGAAAATCCATAAGCTGTTATTTTAGTTAGCTTCTATTAGATCATTTTGTCAATGTTTCAAGTTAATAGAGCAATGATTAAGTATTCAAATTACGAGAGAACCCAAGGGTAATGTACCTGTTACTCAATTGCTAGAACTTTGAAGGATTAACACAATTAATCATTTTAATGGAGATCTTCAATATTACATTTGGTGAAGTTTGCTAACCAATCGTTTATTTATAGAATACGAGTTCCCAATTTTCATTTATCATGAAATTAAAATTACCCACTTGACTTTGATTTGATGGTAGCCAATATAAATTGAATTCTAATCCATTCAAATCTAAATATCAATTTGCATTACTAGTAACAAACTGAAGATGGATATCGCTTACATAATAGGTTCTTGTTGTAAAAGCTAGGAAAGATATTGTTGGTATTTCAATTAGTGAAATACGTTATCTATATTATTTAAACAACTTTAAGAAGCTGTTCTTAATACAAATGTCTTTTTGGTGTGTATTTTATACGAGATCTTTAATAATTTGAAACCGATTTTGATGATTATTTATTGAATTAAAAATATCTGACTGTCAAATAGCTTGAATTAAAATAAATAAAGAAAAGAGTATATTTGTGTATTACTTCCTGTTATGAAATATAGAGTGCATTGGACCAGGTTTATTTAAATTTCTATCATATAAAACAGACTTTTTATGTATGTTTTTGAATTTTCATTTCCGCACTATCAAAGGTCAAATCAGTCAATTTCTTACTGTTATAATATCTTACTTTAGTAGAGACCAACATAGCTTGAAACAATAATATATCTAAATATGTACATATAAATTCTATGTCTATTTGAAAGCACTCCTCTTTTTCATTTAAATTTAGGACTTGAAGTCTGTTTTACATTTTTATTACCATCTAGCTGTGCCCACAATTTCACCCGCATGAAATTTATAACCTATATGTTGTTTTGATGTATAAGCTATAAGTTTCATCAAAATCCGTTCAGTATTTTTGCGTGAAAGGGTAACAAACATCCATCCATACTCACAAACTTTCGCGTTTATAATATTAATAAGTAATACACCCCAACAATTCATACAGTACCTCAACAATTCATTTAGGTCCAAGTTGATAAGATCTTGTATTAATACTTGTGCTAGCAGACAACACAGAAATAATGGCATATTTTTTAAATACATAATATAATAATATTTATTCATGATACACATTTATATTTTAATTTACTGTAGTAAGTAGTAAGTAGTAGTAGCTCGCAGGCCTGTATTGTAGAGACTGGAGTGACTTATTATTATAATTACATATATAGGCACACAGAAAACACCCTGATCAAACGACCTTACATACTTGTGAATACAATGTCTGCAGCGCGCGTGGAATCGAACTCGCGACTATTGGACATAAACCGCTAGACCAGCGAGGCCGTATTTTCGTATACTTGTCAAATAAGTAGCGACAAATTGTTTTTCATTCTTTATTAGTCTATCTATTAATTTCTATAAGGGTTAAAATTGACTTTAACTTACTTCTAGCATTGGGGTATTTCTCCAGCTCCTTCTGCAATGCCTGCAGAGGGAACGGCGTGAGAGCCTCCACCCTGATAATGGCAACATCGTCGACCTTAGTCTTCACCCTCTCTTTATGGAGTTCGTAGTAATGCTTTCCACATACAAATATGATTCTCTTCACTTTTAATGGCTCTGCGAGTTCGTCTCCTGAAAAAGATGTTAATGTTATTAATATTATAAACGCGATCATATCATGTTTGTGAGTATGAATAGATATTTGATACTCTTTCATGCAAAAACCACTGCATGAATTTTAATGAAACTTTACAATTATATAAATTTATACGAGTACATCATAATAATACATGTGCTATAAATTTCATGCGTGAAACCGCGGGCGTGGCTAGTATTTTATTATTTTGTTTTCCAAAGGCAATATCGACTTAAAGACGTTTGTACGTTTCTAGTTGTGCGGTCAGTAGACGTTATTTTAAAAATAATCTCTGAAATGGCTGGACCGATTTTGACGGGACTTTCACTCGCAGATAGCTAATGTTATAATACTACATGTATGTTATAACATTAGCTATAATGCATCGATTTTTTCTAGCTCTGTTTGAAAGACACATTATTCTAGGCTGTAATATATCTAGAACCCACAAAGTTCTAAGCATTCGGATGAAACCGGAACAGCCGCTAGTATTTTATATTTATGTCAAAGTACATGGACCTCTATGTGTATAAATCAGGTAGCTAATGAGTTTTAATATTTATTATGGCAAATTGTTATCACGAATTCTGGTTTTAAATCCATTGAATTAAGGTTCTATTTCAGGAACAAGATTTATGTAATAATCTCATGTGCCAAGCTCCATATATTACAATGTTTGTATGGTATTCAAAGAGTCAAGAAGTTTGAAGATTTGTGATGTAAAGTTATAATATTTGTTAAGTGAAAAGTTTTGTGTTACAAATGTTACTTAGCCTTTATTGTATATATGTGTATATCTCTACAGGTAGGCAATAAAATTTAGACGCACGAAAAGTTTTATTTATTATTCATGTTACGTTACACAATTATGTCATACAATTAAATAATTCATACACATAACATGCACCTTTTAAGCACTGCAACGTGGAAGAGAGGCGGACGTTTTAAATATTATACTAATCAATATCTTGCAAGTATTCAATTTTGTAATAAGCTTTATTTGTCAACATTTGTTTTAATTGGATAATAAATTTATTATATTTATTCTTATTTTTTGTAATACTAGGTAATTTTAGGTATTGAAGTAAGATTTTCAAGTATTTAAAACAAAATATCAATAAATCCTGAGTGGGAATTTTTTTATCCTTTGTTCAAGTTAACTTTTCAATCCTAATGACTCGGTACAATTCACATCGCCCTCTAGTACCAAGCTAAGTAGAGCTTGTGTTGGCGGTACTAGAAAACTGTTAGAATTATATAGATATTTTTTTGTAAATACATAATATACGATATACTGTATCGTTTGTTTGTAGTAAGATATATAGAACTTATTCTTATTATAATTATTATTAAAGAAAAAATACTTCTATTAAAAAAACTTATTACATAATATATAATTATAACTGTAATGACTGATTGTAATTAAATAAATTAATATATATATATATATATAGAACAGACCCAGACCATTACAAACAATTTACCCATTCAAAACTATCTACGCACTTTCTGAAATATTGTTGTGTTATTAAATAGTGTTATTATGTGTCTTACCAATGACCGGTTTAAAATATGTTCCAGGTGCAAATTCAGACAGTGGGGAGACAGCATCAGCTAGCCGAAGAAGAATCTTTGGTGATGCTACCACTAATGGTTTTCTGTAGTTTCGTACGACCTACCAACAACAATGATTATTAGTAAGTTACGTCGTTAGATTTTTGAATATCTTAACTGCTAGAACTATATTTTTTAAAGACTGCTATTATATGACTAGAGTTTTGAAAAAGAAAAAGGTGAAAATGTTAAAAAGTAGATAAAATTTTTAATAGTAGAAATTTGTTGTTAGTTTATATTTAATTTTGTATTTTGGCCGACTTTTGTTACCTTTTGCATTCATGTCTATGTCTGTTTTTTAATATAAATATAACATATAATAATTTGTAATGTGCATATATGATAAATTATATCATCTACACACAAGATAAGAAATAAATTCCAAATAATTAAAAACAAGATGATAGATCTAAAATATCTGATAATAATAAAGAAATAATCTTGGAGATCTAACATAGCTATCCATCCCCAAATTAAACAGAACTTGTGGTATGGGATATGGAAACCTAAAAAAAAGTAATATAGCTAATTAGCTACTAAAAAGCGTTTTACATGCAAAGACTTACATAAGTTCGTAACATACAAATCACCTGCAGATTAATAAAATCAATGATATTTATTAAAACAAATGTCTGAAATTGTGGAGAATCCGCAATCATTGGCAGAAATGCGGAGTGCTAAAGCGCCAAACCACACACAAAAGATTTTCTTATTTTTTTTAATATTTGTCTCTGGTTTACTCGAGGGAAAAATATTATATAATCTACATTATTCCTGCGATGCTGTAAAATGATTTATGGGACCGACCTGTCGCCTCAACAAATGGAAATACTGTGCCGGCGTCGTTGGATTTACTACATGCAAACACACATTCTCCGAGTCAGGGGCTGCTTCCAGACTATCAGTCAGTTGCAGGAACCTCTCGATCCTGCACGAGGAGTGTTCTGATGCAGCTCCGTCATATCCATGGGGGAGCAGCATTACAAGACCATTGCTGCGGACCCATTTTACTGCAATGTAGAATGAGAAATACAATAATAACCGTGGACAATTCAGCGCCATCTAGTCCCAAGCTAAGCAGAGCTTGTTTATGGGCACTAGATTATGTGTACTAGATATATTTTTTTGTTTTATAGAAAACACTCAGGCCGATACAAATAAACATTAGAATAAAAATGTTTGCACCGTGTGAGGAGGAATCGCGATCGCGACCATCGGAAGCAAACCGAAGTGCAACACCCCTATACAATCTATTCAAATATTTTAAGAGACTACTGGAAGTAGTAAAAAGTAAATAAAGTAATTAGCCTCTAATATGAAACCACAGTGCATTTAATTTTATTTTTTCTAATATAATACCTATTTAATAGAGTTTTTAAGTATTCACCTTCACCCGATGCTACATAAGTGTCTACAATGATCTGTGCGCCGGTGTAGAAGTCCCCAAACTGTGCCTCCCACACGATTAAATTGTCTGGGCAGTCGTAGGCCATGCCGTATTCAAATCCCAACACAGCTTCTTCTGATAGAATTGAATTCGCCACCTTGGAAATCATAAAGTCAATATAAATGGTATAATTTTTTATACTACGATGTTGACAAACAAGCATACAGCACATCTGATGGTAAACGGTTACCGTATCCGTACCGTAGGTCATGTTTAAAAGTTATAATAATTTATTGCTATAGAACACTTGTAACTCAAGCTCCTAATTTTTTTATGATTATCTGTGCCGTCCATTTCGGCTACTTACTTCTGTTTTATTTTCTATATATTAGGAATACCAAATAAGCTAATGGTCCACTTGATGGTGAGCGGAAACTGTCGCCTATATACATGAACAGCACCATGGACTATACGTTTGTCGTTGTAGGAAAGAGAAAGAATTATGTCGTCTCTATCGCACACTGCTGGCATCATGCGGACATTAAATTGTGAACGGCGAGTGGGAACAGTGGTCTGTCTGAGAGCTGATAATTAGGGAGACAACCAGTACAAGTTTCTTATGTAACACCCGCGGTATTATTAATCCGTTGCTATTATATTCTTCTGTTGTTATTTAAATGTTTAATATGACCCTACAACTGAAGAACAGCCTACAAAGCAAATTGCTTGGCGGCTGAAATAAATGAGACTAAGGTAGACATCCAGACAATTTTTTCCTACTTTGATTAAAACTCAAGTGGTATTTTTTATATTAAAGGAAATATACCATGCAGGCGACTTCTTACAACTCCAATAAATTTTAGCATGAAACACAAATGGTACTTTAAAATATTAAAAGAAATGTACCATGTGTCAATTGCAAGGTTACGGCTGCCATATAAAAACCACGTAACAATTTTATATGCTAAGTAGCTTTGCGTGACCAAGGCATATTGATTGCGACTATAACAAGTAGGTTATGTTGTACTGTCAGACCGATTACTGTATATAATGTGTTTAGCATTCGGAAATGTATACAAATATGTAAAGCTGTGGAGTTTCGTTTGTTTGGTTGAACGTGCTAATCTTGGGAACTACGGGTTGGAATTGAAGAATTCTTTTATATAGCCTATTTATATATGAATAAGGTATTGGTTATATATTATCACGCTACATCCAATAGGAGCAGAACAGTAATGAAAAGTGTAGAAATAACGAGGACAATCTAACGCTGACGAAATTACGAGGGTTAACTAGTTCTAAAACATGCTTATTTGGTATCTGAGACGGTTAGAATTTTTAGAAGGTAATTTTTTTTATATAATGTAAAGTTTAACCATACGAGCTACTAGTAATAATCTTATGTAAAGCAATTTCTTTTATATTATAATAAATATTATTTTGGATGACACAAAGATTTTCAATAAACCATTATTGTTCAATTTTAATCCGTCTAAATTGAATTTACATGAACCACGAACGAAATTACACGAACTTTTCTCAATTACAACTCATCAATCTTAATGAACTAAGTTCGTACTTCTGTAATTATTTTTTCGACAACAACAAAATATATTGATTTGTTTGTTAGCGTGGTAATACAGTGGCGTGAATTCTCTATTCTATAGGATATTGACTCATCCATCACTGTTACCACATCAATAAATAGCACGCGTACGAAGAACTTGTTGCAAAGTCAAACAGACAATGATTAATTGTGCTCACCTCCAAGAATCCCTGTTGCTGTTTATGTATATGATTGAGAGGTATGTAGATGCCCTCGGTCAGTTGATCGACGAGCATCACGTGACGGTGGGAGAAGGTTCCTCGGCCAACGTCCTCCCCACTTAAGCGCACGTGTCGTCCCTCCATTAGTAGGGAGCCTGAAATATTGTAGACAATTTAAAACTATTTTTTATGATATATATAGTACGGGCAACAGGGCATGCCTGCTACTGTGCACTACTAAATTTCCGATACCATTTCACTTTATTATATAATACATATCTCTAGTAATAAAATCAGCGATCAACATAGGCGATTTTATTTATCGTTAAGTATTGATATATATATAAACCTTTATTATCAACATTGATAAATTAAGCAATTGACAAACAATCATACAAATATGCATGCACCGTGCGAGGAATCGAACCCACGAGCATCATACACAAGTAAAGCGGTGTGCTAAACCGCTAGACCATCGAGTATTAGTAACCGACATCGACAAATAAAGCAATTATCAAACAATCATACTCACAAATACAAATGTTTGCGTCATGCGAGGAATCGAACCCACATCAGAAATAAAGCGGTGTGCTAAACCACTAGACCATCGAGGTCGTCATAACATTAGTAATTAGTATAACCTTAGTATTAATTTACCGAATGCCAAAGCCTCTGCAGTTGCCCAATCCAGTTGGCTGCCATCCGATAACTTTGCCAATCGATTCTTGACATGAGTTTTTGCAAGATGAGTATGAATATTCTGGAAACAATTCCAATTAGTTTTATTTGCTTATATTAAATAAAAATGCTATTTTTAAGTTGCGTGGATAATTAAATATATAATTAAAAAACAAACTATTGTTTCTATCCCGTTTACCTAGCTTTTGTAAAAAACAATAATCTTTATTAAACAGTAGATTATATAAAAGATATATAATTTTAATAATAATAATAATCTACTTTTTATTGTGTACAAAATATGTATCAAAAAAATACTTTATGTTGTTACGTTGATACATGTTAAACAAAAGGCGGACTTATAGCTTAAAAGTCGCTATCGCTCGAAGCTTTTAGTAAAAAGGTAGGGTGGCGCACTATAAAAATAGAAATTGATAATATATTAACATAAAATACATACAAGTACAAATACTATACATAAATAAATTTATTATTACATAACGAAACTTACTATTAATATTACATTTTACATTTCTGAGCGTTTTATGCCTTGTATTCCTTCAATCTTTTTTTCTTTCTAAAAATTCAATCATACATGCCAAATAAGAATAGATTTTGATCATTTTTTTATAGAAAAGTATCTATTACCCTTTTATGTGAAACCACTACTAATACCACTTACACCAGCTTTGTCGAAATAAACAAAACAGTATTTGTTGATTTCAACGTACATATTTAGTTTGTTTGTTTTCTTTACAACACAATTAAATTGATTTATGTTTTAGATTTCGATTATTAAACTTTACAGATTAATAATGGAGTTTGATTTACAATATTTCTTCAATAACAAACTTGGCTCAATTAATTTGAATTATTCGAAATCTCGTTAGCGTCGATAATGTCATTAAATTTGTGCTTTCATATAACAGGATTTAATTATGTATTTCTGAGGAGCATTATATGCTCTACAAATAACAGAATATTGTACAGAATTAAATTATCTTATTAATATTATAAACGTGAAAGTTTGTGAGTATGGAAGGATAGATGGAGGGATAGATGTTTCATACCCTTGCTCGCAAAAACCACTGATCGGATTTACATAAAACTTTACAGTCATATATACATTAAAATATATGCACACATACACCGCAGGCACAGTTAGTATACCATATTACATAATACGATACGATACAATAATGTCTGTAATGTACACTTTAATTTTTAAGGGAACAAATAATACCTTTGATTATAATAAAAAATATAATTATAATACAAAAATATAATGAAAATATTTATCACAGACAATGTAAATGAAGGTGGATATTTCTATGAAAGATATATCTTCCAGATTACCGAATAGATATTTTTTATTTATATTTTAAATAAAAAATTAAAAAAAGTCTCACAGAAATATCCACCTTCATTATATATATTGCTCTGGTATATATATTGTTCCACGCGGGCGTGCCTTGGGAACTAGTGAGTTAGCAACAGTAGTTTTTATCTGCCGGTGCATTAGATACAGCTTCTTTGGAGTAAAATAATATTGAGTATAGAGGGTATTCTAAAATTGAGGAAGGATTTCAATATTCTTTAGAGCCAGGCATCAGCTACTCCGAAAAATGAAAAACTTTCAGGGTTATTATTAATAATCAATTTTCAAAGATACCCAATTGTTTCTGTAATTACTATCGACGAATGCTAGCAGTTTAATGTTTACTAAAGTATTATGTGTATGTATTTACAATAAATAATGTAAGTACTAAGCTATCTATGTATATCAGTTATATAGCCTTTAATCTTTGTCTATTAGTACCCATATCCTAGGATAATAAAACATAATACATATTAGTTTATAAAGTACGATCATAGAACATAATATTCTCTCAAAATTTACATACAAAAGTCTGTTTGTAAGAGTTTCTATATATCTAATAGATATATTAATCTGTTCACCAACATAACATGTAATCGTAAATCGTCTCCGGGACAGAAACGAGAGACATATAAAATATATAACGCAAAGGGTCATGAGTACGGCCATTACGGAACCCATCTATGTTGTTTGTACACTCATGATTTTTAGGGTACCCTACTTAAATTACAATACTAATATTTATCTCTTGTTAAAAGACTGAAATATGTGTAAGTGAATCTTTTATTTTTACTCTATATCCTATAAATTAGGTTTGTATACTTGGTGATAGACAGTAGTACATTGTTTTTGTTATCGTACCAAAACCATATCAGGTGGAGACAAATTGCGAGAAGCTCTATCGCCAAGAAGGAAAATAAAGAGAATCCACTGTGACCTTTATGAAAACCACGAAGACTCTATTAATAGTATACGACTAAAGAAAAAAAAAGAAACTCAAGAGTTCTAATAATAATAATATATCTTCACGACTGTATTTCTAATAAGGTAGACAGAGACATATATTGAATAAAGACAAGTCAAACTTGACGTGTCTACATTTCAATGGGTATCTGTATAAGGGGCGAGCCTACTGTTTCGGATTTTTGGCATTTCTTTCTTTCATTTCTTATCTATTTATATTATATATATGTATATCTAGTATTAATATTATGTATACATTAATACTAGATTTAAAGATTTTTACTAAATTTCAATTTAAAATAATTTCTTTACACAAAAGAGGATGTAACAGTCAAGTTACGACGTATGGGGAATTTCTACTTACGAAATCAGCGGGCGTTCGGACAGATGCTTGACCGATTGTTTTAAGTAAACCCTCGTCAACTCCTGTGTCCCAAGTCTCGACGGCGTAAGGAGCTGCTGTCATGTGGGACCACTGGTCTTGGTAATAGGTTACCTGGAACATATAATTCATTAACTAGGTACTCTAAGGGTCTAATGAACCTATTAATAGAAATGTACCATGTCATATAGAACTCCAAGCGGTTCTCTCTGGAAACCATCGTCATAAAATCTTAGTGAATTTGTCAACGAACTAGCTAACTAACCTGATCTCATGTTCATTTTATTATCTTCCACGTGTCCCGTTAGCGTAAACCACTAGCGCAGACGTGAGTATAATTTCATTATCACCTATTTCCATTATAACCCATAAAAAAAACTAAGTGCAGTAGGAAGAGGGAATCGTAAATAATTTACAGTCAACCTGACCTGACAATCTCCACGCGGTCCTTCTTGGATACCATCGTGTTAATCATTAAGATGGGTAAAATTATCATCCTATACTGGAGCCCCGTCAGCGTTTATTTTCACACATTAAACGAAGTGCTATGGAATTATTTAAAGTATTGTTATTAATTTTATAATATAATATATAACACACAAATATCAATTTAATTGATAGATTACAATTTTTTAAGTAAAGTCATGTATTAGTAATGTTACTAATACATGACTTATATGTTGTTATGTACTTATATATGTATATAACTATAAGTGAGTAAACAAACAAAATCAATTTCATAGTCATAAAACTAGATGAGATTGCGAACATCCTTTTAAAACTTTTTCTTGTAAACTTCATTTTAATGCACAGCTGATTCTTCGCTTATATTTTTTAATAGAAATTCTTGCTTGGCACGCGTTATGTCATAGACAATCTGTTCTTATCTGACGAATATCATTACAAGCTTTTATTTGACTTGCCAAGTTTGTAGCTCTATTCAAAATTTATGATTGCTTTTTGAGCTACATCCTAAGTTTAGGATTAATTTATTAGGAGCTTAGCTTCATTTCAATTGGACTTTGATTTCGATTCTTCTCTGTTTGGGTTTGTTACGTTTATTTCAAGAATTCAAAGAAAGTTGATTCCTATTCTAATAGTTAATTCTGTTCAAGTGACGTCTAAAATGATGTGTTACTTTTTTTGTGTATCTTTACAAAGCTGCACTGCTTTTGGTAACAATTTTTACAAAATATACTGTATCGCGAGTTTCTTATACGTAGGGTATCGTATTAATATTACATCTTACCAATATTATAAATGCGAAAATTTGTGAGTATGGATGGATGGATATTTGTTATTAATTCACGTAAATCTTCTGGACGGATTAATGTGAAACTTTACAAGAATAGCTTATACATGAGAATAACACATAAGCTATAATTTAAAAAGATATTATGTATATTGGGCGAAATATTATGATATATGTCAAGTAAATGTTATGCAGACGAATTTGCACGGGTCTGCTAGTTATTTATATAGCTCGGGTCTTAACATGGGTAAACAAGTATGTATCTCGCTCAAACATACCGTTAAATATTCGGGTTAAGGCCTGACTAAGACCCAACAAAATATCTTAATAACGTAGGATATCAGTAGTAAAATGTGGAATGACTGTCCAAATATATGCGAGATATTCCGAAATGACTTAGTTCGGACTTAACTAGTAAGTTAAGTTTTAACTTTTTCATTCATTCATTCATAATTTAATTCTTGTCGGTGGAGCTCTTGCCACTTTCCGCGATCTTCCATCATGCTCTTTAATTCTTGATACGACACGACTCCCATTTTGTTTAACTTTTTAGATTGACAATAATAGAATTTTTACTCAATCATCCCCAACCAGTGGAAAATGAAAGGTTGAGAATGAATTTCTGCATTTAGCCTCTCATTTGGGTTAATGCGGCTGAATAGAGCAATTTTTTTTGGGGTAAAATGTTTATATTACTAATAATCTTCCCAACAGGTAAAATACTTACTTGTTGCCGTTCCGTATCGTAACATGCTAAGAAGTTAATATTAGTTTCACTCACCTCAGGCTTATATGATCCTACTGCCTCATAATGTTGCTGTAAATACTGCGTATATTCTTCTATTATAGTGTTTACATCATTATCGTTCAAAACACCTTCTTTTACTAACTGATCTGCATACAGATCAGGAATTGTTCTATAAATAAAACAATTAATTAAGTTTATATGATGGCCTCGATAGTCTAGTGGTTTAGCACTCAACTTTACTTCTGATAGCCGCGGGTTCGATTCCTCGCACGGTAGAAATAATTGTATTCATGAGTATGATTGTTTGTTTGTTTCTATGTATATATTTACAAAAAGAAAATGTATCTATGTATTTATATCAGTTGTCTAGTACTCATAACACAAGCTCTGCTTAGTTTGGGACTGGATGGCGTGTGTGAATTGTCCAGGAATAGAATAGAAATTTGCGTCGTATACATATTGTCAGTTTTGTTTGTAAGTATTTGGGGAATAACTTTCAGAAACTAACTACGCGCACAGATTGAAACGTTCATTCCCCTGGGATTACTCGGATATAAATTGTCATATAGATACCAAATATTGTTTAATTGAATTGCTATATTATTGGAATATGCAAATTATGTTCTGAGAAATTTGAATATCTATACTACAGTACTGAAACATTAGAACTACCTATATTGTCGAATATCAGATAAATCTACACTGCACCTTAAATTTTTAGGGAGACGATAATGAAGTCGTGTAGTAATTACTAACGGTATATGTAGAAAAAAAAAGAACGTGAAGAAATAAATTATAAAACTTGAAATGAATGAATGTAAATGAAATCCAGGTACCTTTGTAGCATGTCCACTAGCAATATACCATAGATGTTTCCAGATGGACATCGTGAAAGTGCATTGCTATCAATGAACTCAAATCTCCCCATTACTAATAATCCCCTACTCTATAACTATAAATGAAGACGTGAACAACTGAACTTACTTTCGGTTATTTATACACTTGTACAATAGTGGGTTGGTAAAGGTGGGGTCGTCGAGCTCATTATGTCCCAGCCGTCTAAAGCAGTTGTAATCTATGAACACGTCTTTGCGGAATTGTCTTTGGTACTCAAACGCTATATTTGTCGCCTTTACGACAAGCTGGGAAGAAAATAAGAAGTTTTAAATAACCACATGTATTGCTTTGCACGAATTGTATATTTTCTTGTACTTTAATTTATTAACAAAGCACTTGGAGAAATAAATAACACAAAAATAAATAGAAATTTTATCAGCCAATTCCAAAATGTATGTATTATTAAGATTAGGTGCTTTACCTCAGGGTAGTCTCCATTAACATGTATAACGGGCGCTGCTATAGATTTGGCTAAATCAGTTACATAGTGGGATGAGCGACCTCGATCCGCTGGTTGTGTAAATCCTACCTGAAAGTAAAGACTGGTATTAGCTTCTAGCCTTAGATTTCCATTAGTTTTACTTATTTTTTAAACTTTCGCTTTTAGTACACATTGTTAGTATATTTAAAAAATTTAGCTCGTAACGACAGCTAGTGAAACTTAGTCAAAACGTCAAGAGGGCTAAATATCGTTATTTACCATATAATTATTCCCGTTAAACCCCATTTAACTATTTTAATAGTTTAACTAAGTTAGTAATATTATTTTTGTTCAGCATAATTAGTGCAGTTCTAATTTTTCGTGCATTCTATCCAAATACAATATCTGAAGATATTACCTCATGAATCAGTATGACTCTGTGATTATTTCAAAGAGGAATCCCTTACTTAAAATTCGAATACCGATTTTTAAATTTTACATCTAAAATGTATAAATAAGTAGAGAATCAAAGGGGTATGTAAGGGTTCAGCATACTTAATGTAAGGGTCATTTAAATGTCGGAAAAGGGTCGCATTATTACCTACTGCAGGCACATGTGCTGTGGATTAGCCTTGTTGATAAATAAATAAAACAATATTGGCTTTAACTAGTTTTATTTTGATCTCGAGTGCAACAATCTTCAAAAGTTACTGCAATTAATAAAATTAGGATCGCATCGCATCGCATTACAGTAAATTTTATGAATTACTAGCTGACGGAAACTTCTTTTTCCTATATAAATTAAAATCGCTATTAAATATAAATATAGGTGTTTATAGTAGAAGGGTGAAACTTTAGGGTTATATGTACTATTTAATGCCACATTATAAAAACATAAAACATAAAAATGTTGTCTAAAATGTAAAAAATAAAATATTAGGGGTGGACAACCCTTATTACGTAGGGGTATGAAAAAATAGATTGTAGACGTTTCTCAGACCTACTGAATATGCATACAAAAGTTCATAAAAATCGGTCAAGACGTTTCGGAGGAGTATGGTAACAAACACTGTGACACGATAATCTATACAAATAAATATGTAAAATTGAAGTGTCTGTTTCTAATATTGAAATAACAGTTTTTTACTACATGCAAATGAATATAAATACGGTACATACACCAAAATAACATTTACAATTTTTGTCTGTCTGTCTGTTTGTTCCGGCTAATCTCTGTAATAGCTGGACCGATTTTGACGGGACTTTTTTTGGCAGGTAGCTGATGTAAGAAGGAGTACCTTAGGCTACTTTTATTTTAGGAAAAAAATTTATATTGGAATAATGAAGGTAAATTCCACGCGGACGAAGTCGCGGGAACAGCTAGTTATAAAACTAGCTATATAAGAAGATAATTTAGTATTCATAACCAATTTATAAACTTAGGAACGATTGAGACAATTTTCAATTATTCTTAACATAAATACGTAACAACTTCAATCCTTTTTGATAAAAAGCTTGTATACTTTGATGACATTGTAAAAACTTTCGTCGTGAAATGAATGTTTAAGTTCAGTACGACGCAACTTTGTCATATCATTTCGTTGGATTTGTCTTCTTTGTTGTTTGAAATCTTCAAATTCTTAACATGTATATTCAAAACAGCTGTGCTTGAGATTATTATAGTTTCTTTCATATATTATTTATGTATAGCTTATTTTGTTTTTACTAATTTTTATTATTTATTTAATCTTTAATCAAAATTAATGGACATGGGATAAAGGCAAGGCAATGATGATGATGACACAAAATTAATGGACAATTGGCGATCTTATTGCCATATGTCATTCTCTACCAACTAAGGGCAGTAATGGGAAAAGGCATACTTACATGATTACATAACAATAATATATACGTACTTTATTACGCATATATATATACCAAATTATATGTTATAATGTATACCTATATGCAAAGAAATGGCTGATACGCATTGTATATGAACAATAGCAAGCAGTTGACTCAACTCATTTTGTTGCTTCAGAATATAATCATAAAGTAGCCTTTTAAATGGGGGCTTTCTTTATATTCTTTTTACTATATCACTTAAAAATCATCTTTATTGTAGGTAGTAGCTTTAGAGTAGCGACATTTCATCACATCATACATAACGCTACAGTGGTGAGGTGATAAATATTATGCTACAGTAACTTAGCTTGTCTTTTTCCTGTTTAAATATTTATTGATTATTATATTGAACTCTTGTCTCTGATAGATTTACTTATTGTTCATATATAGTTGATAGACTAAAGACTGCACATACTGCACTTGACGTTTTGACTTAGATGGTTTTAATGATATCTTCACTAAGCAAAAATTGAAAAAGTTAAAGAAGATTGTGAAATTCAGTGCGGAGATTGTATGTATGTATAGATATTTAACTACATATATAGAAAGCACCCAGATCGTTAAAACCATCATACTCAAATACAAATGTAACGTGTGAGGAATTAAACCCGCGACCTTCAGAAGTAAACCGCTAGACCATCGAGGCGATCGGGTACCAGTACGTGTATTATATAACTATATATCTATAGATTCACTACTTACTTGGTTATTAACGACAACGTGAACGGAGCCCCCGATGTCGAAGTGCGGCGCGCGAGACAACATTAAAGTTTCTTGGTTCACTCCCTGCCCTGTGAAAGCTGCATCTCCGTGTATCTGTTAATATTTGAAATCATTATTATCATCCTATACATCATTACTGAATGTATCCTACAGGGGGTAGGGAATTGTTAGTAATGTGGACTATTGACCCCATTGCTAAGAAGGTACCATGTCAGTTTGACCTTCACGCGGTTCCCCTGGAAACCATCATGATAATTTCTTGGTAAATTTGTCACAATGAGCTAGTTCATTGATGTCCCGCCAGCGTAAATCGTTAACGCAGACGAGTGCACTAGATCGCACAATTTACATAATACCTTTTTAAATTATGACCTGTGTGCTATTCTGATAGGTTAGCTTACCTATCAGAATAGCACACAGGTCATAATAATATAACGAAAACTTTCATCAAAATCCCTTCAGTAGTTTTTGCGTAAAAGAGTAACAAACATCCATCCATCCATACTCACAAATTACCCCGTTTATAAGATTACTAAGAGATCTTAAATTTTCGTCAGAAGTTAAAAAGAAGATACATTTTTTTTCCGTAAGAGAAGAAATAGATGCAAATAAAATTACCTGCACGTTTAAAAACTTGTCTCCCATACGCGATGATCCGTCATTTGAGTAGTCGCCTTCTTTATACTGCAACTGTTTTGATCTGGTTTTGCCCATCGATACTGGGTTAGCACACTGTAAATTTCTTTACTTTCATTATTATTATTAAAAGGTTTATTTCTTGCAGGCTTTAATGAATATTTCTACAAAAAAATTCTAAAAGTAAACTAAGCTAAACCGCTAAACCACTGAGACTGTCTTTTCTTGTATAAATGAGTTTTTATGGTAATGTCTAATGGAATAATAAAATTTCTAAATCGTTTCTAATTTCCATTATAAACTTTTCCAGAGGTTCGTTTCAGCAAATAATAGTAAAAATGTGCTACTACACTATATTATTAAAATATAACATATAAATTGACTGAGACTTTGATTAAAATATTACTCATTTATAAATTCACAATAGTAATAGATGAAAACCTAACAAATAATGAATATATTAGAATTTCTGCATAGCAAAAATGAGTATAATCAAAATGCTCTTAATCTATATATTAAAACGAGAAGCAAGAACTTTGTACCCCATCTTACGACATTTGTGCGAACGGAGGAGTATGAGATTTCGGATACTTATCTATCTATACATATAAATAAAATTGGAGTGTCTTTTTGTAATATTGAAATACCCGTTCTTTACTACATGCATATGAATTCAAATACAGTATATACACCTTAATAACATTTTTTAAAATTTTTGTCTATCTGTCTGTCGGTTTGTTTGTTCCGGCTAATCTCTGAAATGGCTGGACTGATTTTAACGAGACTTATATTGGCAGGTAACTGATGTATAACGAGTAACTTACGCTACTTTTATTTTAGAAAATTTCTTTTAATTTAGAAAAATAAAGTTAAGTTCTACGCGGACGAAGTCGCGGGTACAGCTAGTAATTTATATAGAGAAGGAGTGCTGAATACTAACATATATTTTTTAATTATGAATAAAAAATATATTAAATCAGTAAAAAAACATTACACAGTACTATATATTTGACATACATGCATAGGTAGGTATATACTCTTTTGGTTATTTTTAGTGTGTGATCAAATTGAGAATAGATTGATATTGTTTGTTTTTAATATTATTTATCTATAGTCTGGATAACAGAACCTTAATAATAATGATCGTATTTCGACCACTGGGCGACCACTAGTATTTAATAACCGATGTTTTAATCAAATTTTCGGTCAATCTATAAAGTATGTACCTGCATATTTTTGTGTTTATATCCCCAATATTGTCAATTAAATGCCATTGAAATGATATTGTATGTTATATATGTACTACTTACTTCTAAATGTGATGGATTGTTGATTAAAGAGACGCGAACAGTTTTTCCATTAACAGCTATATCTGATGATGCACCTGAAAATGTTCACAAAATTAGTAATTCGTTCTTCTTTAATAATAATAATATCCTTGGACAATTTACACAACACCATCTAGTCCTAAGCTAAGCAGAGTTTGTGTTATGGGTACTAGACCACTGTTATAAATACTTTTTTAAATACATACATAATATTCATAGAAAACACCCAACCGATACAAATAATCATAGTCATCAATATGTATGTACCATGCGAGGAATCGAACCTGCGAACATCGAAAGTAAACTAAGCTAAACCGCTAAACCACTGAAACTGTCTTTTCCTGTACAAATGAGTTTTTATGGTAATGTCTAATGGAATAATAAAATTAATAGCAAGAATATACTTAGCGTTCTTAGTACCAAACAACGCTAATGAGTACTAACGCAATGATATATGTATTTCCTTTGTAAATATTCTATTATATCTATTCACATAGAAAACTCTTTTTCTCTATCTATTATATCTATTCACATAAAAATCATAAATACAAATGTATATTAATACTCAGCGACTATTAGAAAACGAGGTTCTGTGATAATCCATTATAAGTTTCAAGATTATAGAAATACCTAAACATTCCATTTTACTAAAGAATTTTCGGAATCGTTTCATAATTTGCAGAGATCTCCCACTGCGTTCACCCCTGTTTCAGCCCTAGGGGACGTGACAGTGACTGATTGGATTTAATTTTTTTATGCAAAGAAATATTAAGAATAATTTATGAAAATCATATTGATATAAAAATATATTGTATACTGGCTGTATCCCGCACTCACAAAAACCTTATGTACTGAGGGGAAGGTAATTGTTAGTACCTAAAGTGGATTGTTAACTCCATTGCTAGCAATGTACTATCAGAATGACTTCCACGCGGTTCCCTCTGAAAACTATCATTAAATTCCTGGTGAATTTGTCACGATAGATAGATACGATGATGAGGTCAGATAAACATGATCTATCTTACCATCCTCCACTGCCCTGACAGCGTAAACCGTTAGCACAGGCGGCAACAATCCATTATGATCGATTAAAAAACCTTTTCTAATCAAAAAAAATAGTCTAATCAAAATAAATATATTTTTTTACTCACTAAGATGTGTTGCAATATCGCATACTGCTCTCGAATCGTCAGGAAACTCAGGATTCCCGTTGAATTTATGAAAGATCTTCACAGGCGGACATTTTAGTAGACCGCTCAGGGCGTTAAGTTTACCTCTGTGGGCCATTGCTACTATTATATGTTGCACGTCATCTAAAATTAATATTTTACTTAATTCAGTCTAATTTATGTTAGTCTATAATATAGCCCATATTATAAATTAATATGGGCTATATTATAAATATAAATTGTATATGCGATCACGGCAGTGACGACGGTAGTCTGCTATGGTAGTACCGATACACCCCCTTCGGCCAGTAGGGAGTAGTATTTCATAAAGGTGGGCAGCATGGTGAGAATCGGCCCACAAACGCCTTGAAATTCACGTTGTGACTCGACTCCAGCTGCGTCACGTTAAAAATAATTATAGTGATTACTTACCTGCAGTTGTAAGCCTAAAAAGTGTGGAGAAGAATGTTAGAAGGGATTCCGCGCCCTCTCCGCAGTACCGTTTGACAGCTGGAAACTTTATGCTCACAAACTTGTCCCACACTTGTGAATGTAGCATCTCTTTGGCTATTTCCACTCTCCTCTCTTTGTCTACTTTATACGATCCACTTTCTATTCTTTCTATAAACCATTCTCTTTCTGCTTCGGTCTAATTAGAAAAACATGTATTTATTAATTTCCTTTGACTCAATACTTCTTTACATAATATAAAACAAACGCCGCTATCTGTTCGCTTATACCTTTTAAATTGCGTAACGGATATTTTTTTATTTGATCCATATATCATACGGCCCATAAGGCTATGTAATTCGTTAATAGGCGTACATTTGTGTGATAATTTGCTTAAAAAGTAAACTAAATAATATAATTAATAAATGTTATCATTTTTGACTTCTATAATTTCAACTCTAAAAATAAACACCAAATTTGTTTGTAGACATTAATTCTCGTCTACTAGATCTAGAGGCAATAGCATGGAGTTTTTCAAGAAAGATGTAAGTTAGTCATAAGTGTCAGTTGTGCATTGCAAGGTTTCTTAGGACCCTTAAGAAACCTTGCAATGCACACCTGACACTTCTGGTATTTCAGGGGTTCATAACCTACGGTAACGGTTTACCATCAGACGGACCGTGTGTTTCTTTGTCACCATCGTAGTATAAAAAAAAAGAATCCTTTATTACCTCTAAATAAGAAAATTCATAAGATATTGGTCCGCAGTATAACTTCTCTAATTCATCTACCAAATTCTTAACTGGTTGTTTCCCATTGTATCCACAGAGTAGGGCTAAGTCCACGGAATCGCTCGCTGTTAAACCATATCTGGATATATTAAGTTCTTTTATATGTCTGGAATATAAAATAGTTTAAAGAACATTAGAAATATCACAGATAAGATAATATAAGATAGTAATATTATTATTATTGAAATAAAATTAATGCACGTAAATTTTATTGTGATTATAAATATGTATTTGATTCTGATATTAATATATTTGATTTAAATAATACTACTGATACTATACAAATATTGTTTTCTTATTTTATTTGATTGTTCCTGTATCCTCTGTGTATGTATAGACCGCCTTGCTCGAACTCACCGACAAGGTCGAGAAGGCCTTTGAGGACAAACAAATAGCTCTATGTGCATTTCTCGATATTGAGGGTGCTTTTGATAACACGCCCATAGAGACCATCTCACAGGGACTCATCCGCAAGAAAGTGGATGAAACCACCACTCAATGGATCAAAGCAATGCTCTCAAATCGAACCATTAAAACTACTCTTCACAATAGTACGTTAGAAATCCGACCTACCAAAGGATGCCCTCAAGGAGGCGTTTTATCGCCACTGCTGTGGCTACTAACGGTAGACCAGCTCTTAGATGTTATGACCAAAAACCAATTTGAGGTACAAGGCTACACAGACGATTTAGTAGTCATGGTCAGAGGGTTCTGTGCAACAACAATATCAGACCGCATCCAAAGAGCATTAAACATCATAGTTAAATGGTGTAAGGAAAATGAATTATCAGTAAATCCTGATAAAACAGTAATTGTTCCGTTTACAAAAAGGAAGAAACTTGACAAACTTGTCATGCCTAAAGTAAATGGAAGAATATTAGAGTGCTCCAAAGAAGTCAAGTACCTGGGCGTAACCTTCGACCAAAAACTGACATGGAACACACACATAGACAACATAACTCAAAAGGCGAAAACATCCCTAGGTATAAGCCGACGGGTAGCGGGGCCCAGATGGGGAATCAACCCCAAAATTGCCCTATGGCTTTACACAGCAGTGGTGAGACCGCTTACCACCTATGCCTGCGCTATCTGGTGGAGGAAAACCCTCCAATCCACAGCCGCCACCAAGCTAAACAGCCTACAGAGAATTGCTTGTCTGATTATTACAGGAGCCATGAGCACCACGCCGGGAGCAGCTCTAGACGCATTATTGGACTTGACGCCCCTTCCTTTATTCATACAGGAAAAGGCGAAAGCCAATATGCTCAGAATAAGTTCCCAAAGGAGGATATCTTGGCATTCCCTGGCCATAAAAACTATACAAGACTCGATTATGAGTGATCCTATTCTGGGAATGCCTGAAGACAATATGGCACCAGAGTGTAACTTTGTACAATATTACAAAATCGAAATATCTGGAAGAGACGAATGGCAAAATAACCATACACCGTCTCACTCAGAGCATGACCTAGTCTGGTTTACAGACGGGTCCAAAATAGGAGATGATGTAGGATGTGGAATATGTGGTGTAAAACCCAAAATCTGCAACTATATAGGCTTAGGAAAATACGCCTCAATCTTTCAGGCAGAGACTTACGCCTTAATTAGATGTCTGGAAGTAATCCTAAGCCTCAACTACATCAATCAGAACATATACATTTATTCGGACAGTCAAGCTGCTCTACTAGCACTTAACTCGTACGAAATCCGTTCTAAACTTATTAGAAACTGTATCCTGCTACTAAATGAAGTAGGAAGCAGAAATAATATTATTCTGAGATGAGTCCCCGGGCATTCAAATATTGAAGGCAATGAGAATGCCGACCATCTGGCAAAGTTAGGGGCAAAAACCGTCCAACTGGGCCCTGAACCCTTCTGTGGTGTGCCTCGTTGCCTAAAACTGGGACATCTCAAATTAATAACCAAACGAGAAGCACTGAATCACTGGCAAGAAATGCCAGGATTAATACATTCAAAAGACCTTATATCGGGCTTCTCGACCAAATACTCCAATCGATTACTGCTACTGAGTAAAAACAACATATGCATGATGACTAGGGCTCTCACAGGACACTGCAAATTGAACAAGCATATGGCTAAGCTAGGCCTATGCACGACTAGTATCTGCAGATTCTGCCAAACTGAAGAGGAAACGCCGCTTCACATCCTATGTGGTTGTAGCCCACTCATGCATAAACGAAATATCTCCTTTGGAAAGTTTACACTCTTTCCCGAGGAGATAAAAACGATCGCTCCTAAGAATATCCTTCAATTCTTGTCCCTGACGGGTCTAGGTAGCGAACTCTGAAAAGGGCGAGCACAATAGATCTATGTAGGTCGCAGTGCTACAGGTGCCACACATCTGACAACAGCCCAAACAACCCAATAAAAAAAAAAAAAAAAAATCCTCTGTGTATGTATATATGTACATCTCCTCCTCCGACATATTATGGTCTACATATATATATATATGTAGGCCATAATATGTCGGAGGACTTAGATGTCATGTTTCTTATCTTGTAATTTCACGGTCCAATCTACACCCCATGTTAGCAGGGATAGTATTAATAATATGGTTGCTGTATATACAGGTAGTATTGTAAGCTGCAGTTATTGTAAGTTAAATACACTCAAAAATTTATAATAATGGAGAAAAACAATTAACAAATAAGAACACAACAATACAGACTTATTATTATAATAAGACTTTTTTATTTTCGAAACGTAATGAGCCACAGATTCACAATATTGCGCGGCCGCAGTAGGATGACGAGTGTGTAATAGTTGTATGCGTTATGTTATTAATTTAGTTACTTAATAATAAGGTATGAGCTGTGGTATGAGTATTAACGCTTCCAAAACCTAAACACATCTTACAAAGCAAGCTAAAGTAGCTAAAACTAAACTGCTTGATGCTAGGTAAGACTGGGATACCCCAAAAAATTACAAAGTCTACCTTGGTAAATAATTCGGTATGGTTTTAGCTGACTATACCTAACTTCAAGTTGAAGTATAAAGGAAAAGTTTTGCCTGATAGGGAAAATTTAATTTTTTGGTTGCTATGACAAATATATATCTGTAAATTTCTATATTTACATGGTCTTAACTCTATAATATATCTTTCTTCAGATAACATTATATAGTTTGTGACTGAAGTTTACAAATAAACATTTTCTTATCTTATCATATTTTCTTGTATTTTATTGCATTCTGCGTCTATTTGTGTTTTATTATAAAAATACATTAAAGATATATTTATGATATTTATTATAGGTAGGCCTCAGTGATCTGGTGGTTCAGGACACTGTCTTACTTCTGATGTATGTGTTTACTATTTTTCCAACAAATGTCTAGTATTAGTAATACAGCAGTATTAATATAAGTTCTGCATAATTTATGATTAGATAGCACTTTGTAAATTGTCCTTAACCTTTTTATTAAATATTAATTTTATGGATTGTGTGAGGTATTCGATTATTTGTAATGATTATATATATTTTCAATCTGCAATCAGATACTTACTTAGTATTATTTTTATAATCTACATTGTCTATGGTGGCTTTCAAGTGACCATGTGTACGGTATGCGTTGATGAGATGCTGCGCGCGGCAGTGCTCATATCTCCTTATTAAAATATCTTCAGGTACATCTGTAACAAATAAGCATGCTAAATAGAAATTCTTTTAAAAAGTCTGCGTGGGTACCTCAGTCTTACCTACGTATTTTACACATACAGCTTGCTTTATAAGCTGTGTTTCGGTTGTAGGGTGAGATTAGGCAGTGAAGTTATAGGATAAGATACGTGACATCTTAGTCTTCTGGAATGGCAACTCAAGACTGGTATCGGTGGCTACATGTATATAAGCGATGGTTAGTCCTTTTTATCAGGTAGGCCGTCAGCTTTTTTACCCTTTCAAATATATAAAAAAAAATCCAATGAATTTTATATTTCTTTTAGTTATCTAACTTCAGTGCATATATTACAAGAGGTAGATTTTGAGAACTTAACACCATTCGGCATATTCTACCATCAATTAGGGCTAGTGAGGAGAATAATATGTAACATCTAGCATTCTTATTTCGCTTTCCTGCACTCTGTAGACGGTAGTGTGTAACAATCTATTTTCTAATGCAGACATGGCTGTATGGGCGTATTCCTTCTGCCTTTCCATTAAAGGATAAACAGAACAGAAAAAAAATATAATTTGCAGAGGTCGGTAACCTCTTAAAAGTAACCTCGAAATTGATACAATTTGACACTCAGATGTCAGATGTAACAAACAATACGAGACTGCTGTTAAATTCCTTCTTTTTTTTATAGTGTCTATCCATTGTAGTAAACTTTATTGCACCAGAATTCCTGTGCGTGTAAGGATGACGATTCTTTTATTATCAAACGAAACTAAACTTTTACGCGTTGACATAAGGTTTACTTTGATCTATTTTCAATATCAACGCGATTGTAATACGCATCAGGATTTGCGCTCAGATTTATTGTAATGATCTTTTTCGACTCTATTATTGGCTGATGTTCTAATATCTACTTGCAGAACATTTAACTAATAGTAAAATAATTTTATTTGTTACTATCAGTTAGTCGTGACTACGTCTGCTTTTTTTTAGAAAAAAGATTGCTTTTGTCCGTACTCGTGATGCAATCTAATAATACACAAAAATTCATTAAAATCTACTTCAACCGCTTACTTGGTAAAACTATGTAAAAATGCTTAATTAAAATTAGAATTGTATTTATTTCGTTTATTCGATATAGTTATAGGCGTTTCACTTTCGGACTATTCTAGCTACCGTCTGCGAATAGGTGTAATTGTTAGAAATAGAAATTTAAAAAACCTTTATTAAAATAAACTAAAATATAAGCACTTTTGAATAAACATATTTTTTTTTTATTCTTCCACTCATTGGTAACTCAGACTCATCACAAGAAGAATGAGCAAGCAACTTGCGTGTTACTCTTATAAATAAATGTTGTTCAGAATTACATTTTTAAGAATTTTATGTGAATACAAACCCCAAATAACAAAGGGGACATAAATAACTGAATAGTTACTTGAGTAACCAATGATATTATTGTAATTTGCGACTTTTATTTACAACAAAGGTACATAAAAACCTTACGGATAAAAATCTTTAAATTACAGAATAAAGCCTTATTAAAAGTGGGTGTGAGATTCAGAAGAAGTAAGACGGGAAAAAATGGATGAAAAAACAACTTTGCATCTCCAAGAGCAGAGACGCATTTCATCATCTGGCTACAGAATATTATTTATCTTATGGATATTAATTGTAACTAATGGTCTTAATCGTACTGCAAATAGAGCAATAAATGGCCTACCAGTTTCATTTACCACTCTAGGTCGATGTCCGAACACTCCTGCGCCTGAGTTGTACATAACACGATTGTAAATACGATATTCCTTCCATTTTATTAGTTGTCTCGTTCCCACTTTACTTAACACGTACATTATCTATTTCACTTTTTTTTTTAAATGTACTAATCCATAGTCAATAGTAATTTATATACAAATTTAGTTTAGAATTGAAATTGAAACGCGCAAGAGTGAGTGATAGCGATCACGTCTCGCATTCGACTGCGTGTTTATGAAAGGGATGGAAAATATGTGATATCCCTATGTTGTTTTAAGGAGTTCTTGTTTGTTATTTGTCATAATGACATCGTGATAAACATTTGATAATGATTTTGTTTTGTAAAGAGATATTTATTTGATGGTTTCTAGCGGTCTAGTGGTTTAACACACTCTTACTGATGATCGCAGATTCGATTCCTCGCACGGTGCAATATGTATTATGAGTATGTTTGTTTGTATCGTTCTGGGTGTTTTCTGTTTACGTATTTAGAAAAGAAAATGGGACACCAGTAGAGGGAGATAAGATGAGTATAAGGTCAGGTCAATTAGCACATCGTGGCAAAATCATCAGGAATTTAATATGATGGGTTCCATGAGGAACCGCATGGAGGTTAACCTGACATGGTACATTGCTAGCTATAGTGTTGTTAATCCACATTACTAACATTCCCCTTACAATTACATATTACTAATTTAATAACAGACCTTATCAATATCGTGATAGTGCGGATGGTAAAATAATAGTTGTGCACGGATGGAAGTCAAGGGCTATCAAACTGGCGAGATCGAGTGACCTTATTAAAATATAACACAATTCGATTAAATATCGCTTTAAAGGGATATTCTCTAGAGTCAGTACTTGTATTGGCTATTATATGTACTGTAGACTGTAGCCCTAGCGTCACACGAGTCTTGAATAAAAATTTTAGTAAGTAATATGCTATGGTACCAATAATTCGGACTTGTTTACTGGGGTTACTATTTCTTATTTTAATTTTTTATTTACATAATAAATTTTTTTTTGGTTATTGTATCCACGCATATGTTATCAAGAAAAGCGAGAAAAGAACGAAGGCGATAGGAACTTGGAAAGGAATAAGGAATTTGAGATGTCCGTAGTTCATCAGGTGGGACGGAAATTGTTGGCCATTCGATGCAGTAGTTCCTGATATTAGCAGGTTCAGTTAAACAAACAAACTTTGGCTTTAATAAATTACAATAGTACAGATTTTGGTACAGGTTTCTTTATGAAAGCGAGGATAGCTCATCTATCTATAAACGAATCAATAAATTAAATAAGTGATCATAGACAGTAGCTGTGAATATAAAAATAAATTCTACTCATCCTTACTAATATTATACATGCGAAATTAACTCTGTCTGTCTGTCTGTCTCGCTTTCACGCCAAAACTACAGAACCGATTTAAATGAAATTTGGTACACAGATAGTCCAGACCCAGAAGGACAGAGGGTACTTTTTAATGTGAAATTTGATTTGTAAGGGTATGAAAGGGGAAATGAAAGATTCTATGGAAGTATCATTTTCAAATTATAAAGCTAGAAGCTTGAAACTTACTTGTTAGGCTGTTCATTAAATATAAATAAATATGATACTCAAGGGTGTTCCACGCGGGCGAAGTCGCGGGCACAGCTAGTATATACATATAAAAGTAATGAGATATGTACTAAGTAGGCACGTAATGTTGTTTGTTTGCTTTGGATTTTTAGATAACATCATGATAGTTTATGTTATATACAGTAATCATACTCAGCATAGTAACTGATAATGTATATATGTACAAAATAACAATTAATTTCTATTAATTACCTACTTTAGTTGTGATATTATGTGGGTTTCTATAATAGCTGATAATGGTAGCTGGCGGGGCACTAGTAAAGGATGATAGGATGAGCATGAAGTTACGTTAGTTAGCCCATCTTGACAAATCCTGTAAGAATTTATTTAGTTGCACTAAAATTTGAACTTGTCTCCTTTTACAGAATAGCTATCTATTAGATTTTTTTTAACGGACGAAAAGTGTACGAGAAATGTGAACGATGTTGCTGGTGGGGCGTAGTGGAGGATGTTTTTTTTTATAACACAGGGGACAAACAAGCATGCGGCTCACCCGATGGTAAGTGATTATCGCCGCTCATGTGCACCCGCAACACCAGGAGAATTGCAAGTACGTTGTCGGCCTTTTAAAAAGGAATAAGCTCTTTTCCTGAAGGTTTCAATATCGTATCAGTTCAGAAATACCATTGCTGGAAGGCTTGTGCGTGGCAAAAAGTTTCTAGAAAACCGCACTGTGGAAGACCGCCATTCATCCAGATGATCAGGATGGTATTTCAGTTTCTGGTGCGTGGTACGGTGGTAAATGTGAATGTGATGGCATGTCAGTTAGTCCATCGGGGCGAAATAATCAGGATTGGTTTTCAGAGGGACCGCGTAGAGGTGGATCTGATTGGGCCACTATAACAGGGGCTGTTATTGACATTCAAAATGATTTCCACGGAAATTAGATGATACCCATTATCTATAATACTTAAACGTCGGGTAGCTGGTGATTTTATAGTTATAAAGAGATCCCATCATTTGATAATACGCTGATACATTCGTATGCTATATATCCGTTATGATGACGTATTTGTCTACATATAAAATGCATTAGCAATAAACACGTATATTCAATTAGGCATTGCACCTAATGTAATTAAAAGTATGTACGTTGTTCATGTTCGTAGAATTTAATGTAACTAATTACTAAAAAGCATTAGTGTAGTATATACCTACATTGATTTACTTAACTGTTACCCGCAATTTTGTCTGTGTGTTCAAATAAATAAATTATCTAGAATAAAAGCAGCCTATAAGTAAATTTTCTAGAATAAAGTCAGCCGTATAACATTAGCTATCAGCGAGTGAAATGTTAAAACAATTAAAATTTGTATTATAAAAGTACCCGATGTTAATGCTTATAATATTACTTATATGCGAGTAAAAGTCCCATCAAAATTGGTACAGGCTTTTCTGACATAACCAGGAACAAACCGACTGATATACCGAGGAAAATTTTGTACATAGCTTTTTTATGAAAGTACCGTATATATACATATTTTCATATGCATATAGTGCTAAAAACTATTAATTTGAAATGACAAACAGACTCTACAATTTAATTTCTTTATACAGATTATGTCGGTATAAAAACCTTCACTGTTTTCAAAGTATAAACAACAATAGATTGTAAAGTGGAATAGGTATTTATTCTATTTCTTTTTTTTGTGTTTGCATATGCCGCTTTTAACAAGCAGTTTTTCTGAGAATCTATGTTAAAAGTAGAAAATAAGAAATATTACAAATAAACTAACTTTTTTATTTAATTTCTCATAAAACATTAAAACGAAAAAGAACTTATTAAAGAAATAAAATCCTTAAAAAAGAATAAATTAGGTATTGTAGTAGATACGTAAGTAAAACAAAATAATTTTTGTTCTTCATTGAGTGCATTTTCTTATGAACAGAGAAGAAGAAAATAAAAACTATACAATTGTTACAAGACGTGTCACTATGAAACTAAGTAAAACAATTTGTGTCACAATATTTACTAGAATTAGTAATAAAATTAGATACTTTGGTGATGAGAGCAATCTGCATGGAATAGGACATATGTTATCAATGTCATACATACCAATATATAAAAGGTAAGTTATACTTATACTTAAATTATAGTAAGTAAATATAGTAGTAAGTAGGTCCCTTTACTTCTTTTTATATATAATTGGAATATCAAACAATATAAGCAAATAAGTTGACGGCCGCTTGATGGTAAATGGTAATATTCGCCTATAGTGAATAACACAAAGTTTATCACGTTATCTGACGCCCGTAGTACCTCTCATATATTGCTCTTGAAGACTAAGATGTCATACTTCGTATTCGTAACCGCACTGCCTTAGCTCACCCTTCAACTGAAACACCTTACAAAAGAAGCTGCTTCGCGGTAGAGATAGGTATAAGAGACTGAGGTATCAAGCAAATGACTTTTCACAAACTCTATGGTACATTGTTTGGTTTTTTTGGTCCAATTAGCCTGTGATATGTGTAATTCAAGTAATTATATTGGTTCTATCTATACATACGACAAGTAAATGCGCTGATGAAAAATTATCTATTACTAATTTAAAAATTAGGTTGTATCCCGTACATTGACTTACAGATATGAATATATACAGTGATTCGATTAATTAAGTGTTCATCACAACGTTGATAATTGATAATGCCTTTGACTACTTCATTTGGGATACATACGGTCGTAAACATTCATATTAGGTTTTTAAAATATTATAAAGGTACATGAAGATAGTTTTAAATCGGAATTTAATATATTGAAGCGCATGTATACATAATAATATAATAATTATTGTCGAAATCATATCTTAATATTTGTATTGGTTTTTGAATAAATTCAAACATAGAACATAGTACCATAGAATTGTATATGTAAACTGTGGTATTAGATATGCGAATTCTGTGCAATAGCTAGTACTTATATTTAAATAGGGGTAATCAATTAAATCAGAAAAGCAGCCAAGTGAGAAGAGATTGGACGAAAAGTAGGGGAGAAATGTAAAATGATTTTCGGACAATAAAATGGCGCAGTGTTGCCACAAAATTGAGTCGAAATTAATATCCATGGATTACAATAATTTAATAATTCATGCAAAATACCATTCCCTGGATAATTTGATTTTTTTGTACTTACTTATGATCCATTTCGGCATTTGTGACATTGATGGTCTAGTGGTTTAGCACACCGCCTTATAGGTCGCCTTGTGATGGTTGCAGGTTCGATTACTTGCACGATACAAACATTTGTAATCAGTAGTTTGCATTTCGCTTTTCTTTAATAATTATAATATCCTTAGACAATTTACACAACGTCATATATTTCTAAGCTCTGCTTAGCATGTGTTATGGGTGTGTATGACCTATAACATAAACTCTGCTTAGCTAGATGGCGTTGTATGAATTATACACGGTTATTATTATAGTCATATATATATGTATATACTGGTTACTGAAAAAGTCTGGAAATTATTATAAAATATATTGCGTCGTTTACAAGAAATATGTGGACAAATAGTTACATAAAACCTTGACTAATTATAGATAGAATTATTGCAAACAACTTCTAAAATAACCTGCTGAGACTATGATAATAGTATTCATACCCTAATCAACATCCGTCAGTCATCTACTCAAGACAAATTATACGAGTTGTTTTATTAATTACTGGCTTTACTAGCTGAGCCTGCGACTTCGAAACTATAATAACTGTTTTATTTATTAATCGACTGAAATAAAATACACAAAATTTTAATCGGAGATTACCACAATACATTAATGAAACTGCGTCGCAATTGGTTTCCATTACTGAGCGCGCACAAAAATACTGTCTGTTTTTTGTGCGCGTTTAGTAACGGAAATCAATTTCGACGCAGTTCAGATTTCTAAAAATGATTCCATTGGGTTCAATTGATAAAAGTGAATAAAAGTGATAAAGTCGTTTAATACTACAACAGTTTTTTCATATATCTTCTATGCACGAACGGCCAGTAATTGCATTTTTATTATATATGCATGCATATAGTTCACAGACAAGATAGTATTATATAGTACAGACGAAGATTCTGTGGTCGTTCCTATTTCATTATCAAGTTGGCTAATTAACACAATTTACAATACTATGTGAATTGTAAATTGTGTTACTTAGCCAACTTAGTAAGAAATTTGCCCTGAAATTATACCAAAATGTTTATATTATTGTACTTAAACGGAACAATTTTTTGCAGAATATTTTGGTTATTGGTACTGACAGGGAGTGCATTTACAGCATCAAGAATTCTGGAGCCAATATTTAGCTTTTACTCTGGAGACGACGTGTCTTATTTGGTTGACACGAATTACATAGATTTTGACACTCCATTCCCAGCTGTTACGGTGTGCCAACATGCAGACACGGGGAATATAAAAAAATACATAAGCGAGTAAGTACATAATAAATTTACCACGCACTTTTTACGATTGTTTCCAAGGGGAAACTGACATAGTACATTGATAGAAATGGGTTCATTAGTCCATATTGACAATACCATTCCCCCCTGTACATAACTATTGGTCTAAGAGAGATATACACCCTCATCGTTTATTCCAAAATTACTATGTTTTTATGTTAGCTAATATACAGACATACATTTTAAAAATACATTTATAAAAACATGGGTTCCCGATTCAAAACCCGGACTTAATGTGTCAAATAAATAATAATAATAATAAAATAAAAAAAAAATTGTTAATGTATATGACTTTAACAATTCTTTTCTTAATTTTATTATTATTATTATTTATTTGAGGCAACTGCCCATATCATAAATACTTTCTAGACTAACATATATATGAAATAATAGTTTAAAAGGAATATATTGAGCTTGTCTGTGTGGTCATGGCACTGACGACGGCAATCTGCCACGGCAGCGCCGATACATCCCACTCTTCAGCTAGTAGTCCTCCTTCATGAAGGCTTATAAATATTTTATAAATATTGTAAACAGGGTATACAGGGTGTGAAATAATCATTGCACGGGACGCCTTCGACCGACATATAGCGGGGGGATTAATTTGCTGGTGCAGGTAGAGAACACAAGAAATAATATTTCAAGCGTCAAGTTATGCTACATATAATGTATACCGAATAATCATTGTAATCCAACGCGGCACATCGAGGCAGCGTACCCAAAATACTAGCAGCTTTGCCTCCTTGAATGGCCATACTTACCCTCTGGGCAAAATAGCTACCAGCTCTCGGACCACAAGAAACTTTGATGAGCCGCGCTGAAACATTTTTTTTATTATCTTCCTCATTTGTTTATCGTCAAAATCAAGCACGAGTCGAAAGAATATTCAAAGTTAATTTCTGTCGAATTGAATTGTATCAACAATGGAATAACTGACCTAAATTCATTCCCGACTCATCCTATTCTCCTTCATTGGTGCCGCCAAAAATTTTATGATCATCAATTATAAAAAAATATCTGTAGACATCCCCTTGTGCATACAATTTATTAATAATTCACGGACTCGGCGGTCTAGCGGTTTAGCACACTGCCTTTCCGATGATCTCAGGTTCGATTCCTCGCACTGTACAAACATTTGTATTTATGACTGTTTATATAGGTGTGGTATTTTACGCAAGGTAAGTAAATTAGTAGTATTTGCAAAAAAAAAACAAAGTAGGTATCTCTTATGTATTTATATTAGATATCTAGTAACAATGACACAAACTCCGCTTATGTAGGAACTAGATGACGCTGTATGAATTGTCCTGAAATATTATTATTATTAATTCTGTAGTGGCAATTTCCAAAACTGCACTTGCTATCAAAGCAATCGAGTTCGCAATCTCCTTTCATTTTAAATGTATAAGTTTATTTTCATACCATCGCCGTTGGTCCGATATTGTTACAGTTTGCGAATTCATTTCGCAACTTGCCCCTTAGGTGCACTATCGATTCTAGAAACGGATTCGTTGGCATTTTCATTGATAGAATGTTACGTCAGGATATCTTTTTTTTCTTTTATTATTGGCATTAGCATAAGCAATGACAAATACATTTATCATTCTAGAATATTCGTACTGTATTAACAATCAACGAACTGGAAGAAATTTTGAGATATATCCACCACTGTACAATTTTATTTAATGAGTGCTTTGTATCTTTTTATAAAAAAATTTGTTGTACAATAAAGTATTACAAACAAAATATACCAATGGTTAAAAAATAAAAGATATATGTATCTAAAATAGCCTTCGTATTTATATACGAAGGCTATTTTAGATCTAACGGTAACGCATGAGTCCCATCACAGGCCTCATATGACAATGTGATGTCCGTGATATATAAGTGACGGTTACCACTTACCATCCACTTTGTACGTACGGTTTTTTAATACATATATTTTAAATACAAAAAAAAACCTTATCTTCGTATATATACATAATTATATTATAAACACGAAAGTTTGTGAGTGTGAATAAATGTTTGCTTTTTCACGCAAAAACTACTGAACGGATTTTGATGAAACTTTACAGTAACATAGCTTATATATCAGAATAATATGTAGAATATAAGTTTCACGCGGGTAAAACTCGAGCACAGTTAGTATATATAGTATATGTGGCTATTTTAGCAACACATGCGTGGTATCAAAGACGTCATATGATAACGTGATGTACATACTGCTATTCATGTATTTAAGCAATATAAGCGACAGTTACCACTTACCATCCGCTTTGTACCTACATAAAATACAAAATATGTAATATTTTTTTTCCCAGACATCACCTTCCAAAAGCAATGCTGGATTTTTTCAAGGAAGTGAGCATTTGGAATATTAGATACTGCAGAACTTGCGCGTCGTGTAAAGTCAATCAAACATGTTTAGAAGAGTTTGTGGATGTGGTGAATACCGTCCGGTCCAAGTGCCCTGATATACTGTCAGATTGCTGGTGGGATGGCAAGCTATTTCAATGCTGTGATCAGTTTAGTACTAATTATATCAATTTACTAGTTACCCCAAAATACTTAATATAATTTGCATTCGATAATCCCATTCTCGTATTGTTACCTCGATGGTTATTTATTTTATGTAGTATATCTTACATACCTAGCAATTTAAATAAATATATAACGTATACTTCAATAAATTTTATTTGAACTGAGGAAATACGACCACAGAACCCCGTAAGTATACGTTATCGTTCTCGTACAAAGGACTTTGTAAATCCTCGGCTTATGTATATACGAAACGTAATACTTACAATCTATTGTATGTATTTCCTGCGTAGTTACCTAGTGGTTTACTACTCTGAATTACACTCAAGAGGTCGTGAGTTCAAACTAATATATCTAAATATCCAAATCACAGATCACATAATATTACATAATTCAAATAGTCATAAAAAACTTACGAGTGACTGACTTTTAGGTGTAGGAAATACCGATATGAATATCGTCGACTACTATTTGCAGGAGGATTCAAGTCGGGATATGATATAGTTTACTGGCAATGGTTTTAGGGTTAGGTATTATTTAATAAAAAAAGTCACAATGTGTCTAAAATTATATGTATATGTATAATATTATAAATACAACAACATATATACAACTTATTTCAATAACCAAATAAATTGGGTTGTTTTTGTTCCTGAATGAATAGGGATTACGTCAACCTACTTCAATAAAGATTATCGACGAATAGGTGGTACTTACAAAGGGCTCACTAAACTTTATCTATATAACTTTCTTTTTTGGTGGAGTATCTAATACATCTAAGTGAATAACTTTCTATTAACAAAGAAACATTCAAGTTTAAAGGAATATATTTTTTATGTATAATAAAGTGAACCAATGCATTGTAGAAGGCGACTTATCCATAAAATAATATAGTATAAGGGATAAATAAGAAAATAAAAAAGTATTTAGGTGTATGCTTGTTAGCATGACTATATGTAATAATAACTAATATCTGAATAAAGGCTTTATTATTATTATAAGAAAAGAAGAATGTTATTATTTTTACTTTATAAAGACGGCGCAATCCATCAACAATCTCCCATTACACCAAGTGGCAACAGTCACTAACGTTAGGGTTGGCGCCTTCAAGAAATATTGTATATTTATTATTATTGTTTATATGTTAGTAACATATGTATATATTTAACATAACAAGTGTAAAACATATAATTTAGCATAGGAAAATATATAATAGATTTTTTTATTGTCGTAAATTGGGAATGTAATTTAAATTCGGCTTAATGAAAATTACATTATATGTATTTTTAAATTATTACATAGTAATAGGTACAAAAGGCGGTCTTATTAGTTAAGGAATCTTCTGCAGACAACGTTAATTACTATAGTAATTAAAACGTAACCTTATTAAAGTTTATTCCATTATTTTTCCACAGATTTCTTCCTATCATGACAGAGTATGGCGTATGTTTCGCATTTAATTCTCGTATCGCGGGCAACGACACTGTACTAACAGTGAACAGGCGTAGTCAGCCATCCCTGTTGCTTTCGGTCAAACAGAAAATTGGGGTGAGCTCACACAAGCGAAGATTTACGCAAGATTAACTTCCACTGACATGCCTTAACTTTTACGCAACAACCCGGCGCGTACGAAACTTCACACATACAAACTGTATAAGTGTCACTTCACAAATGCGAGGAACTAGCTGTGCACGCTATTTTATTCGTTGCAATTTTCGCTAGTTTTGACTAAGGCATTTGATCTCTAGAAAGAATTGTATATTTTCACTAAGACAAATATAACGTAACAATAGAGACACCCTAGTAATATATGATATATCCGATATATTATATTTCATTAGGTTGCTCTTCAGGTATGCCATATATTAGGTCAGGTTGTTTTTCATTGTATAGTATAGTCATAACAAGGAAAAGTCATCAAATTAGCCATGCTCATGATTACTAATAAAATTACCTAAACTTAATGATCAGTTACTGCCTATCTACTTCATATAGAATGCCCCTGCAATCATATAGGTAAAGAGTACTATATAAATATATAGGATTATGCTCGAAAGAATTAAAATTAGCTATTCTGTGTACTCATCACTTTATTTTCAGCCAGTCTATAAGTTGAAAATAGCCCTGTTCTATAGTATAGACTTCCAAATGATTTATCCTAAACCACGTAGATTCGTAAACTTTTTGCGACATATTCAAGATCAAAGCTACACATAGAAGGGACCATTCTAAATTATCCCTACGTTTATCTCAGTATCATCAGTTTGTCTTGAGTGAAACCTATTTCTTTCTAAACTCGTAAGAACTTTTAATTTTATCTTAGGTATTCAAAATTTAATATTTCTATTCAAGATTTTTGTCTCATCATAGATAAACTTTGTAGTGGCCTACAAATATAATTTTTAAGCTAACATTACTAATGGAAAACCAATATTATCTAAATTATTTTATATGTAGTAATCCTAAGAGTGTTTTAAGATTATTATATTAAGATTCTAAATCCAATAACATTTTATAATGTGGTAACTAAAACAAATGAGGTGTAAATGATTGTTTTTAGATAAGGGTCCACTCACCTGATGACATGGTGTTCGTTGGAATGGAAAATGTGCTGGGTCAGCCTGTAGCCGTCCCTTTTGTGTCAGACTACGAAATTATATTGAAGGTAATGAAAAACACGTGATAACTTTTTTGTTGTACGATGTAATGAGGTTTACACAGTCAAGGAAGACGCTCTTCGGAACATCCCTCCGATCGAATTCGAAATTACGATGGGCTGAGCCGAGGATTGAACCCCCAGCTGTGCCCTCAAATTAAATTCGTATCCGTCAGGCGGGAGTTGGCCTTCAGCCGCTCCATAAGTCTTTCCTCAGGTTTGGAGTGCCATCCGCACTCGTCCCTATCGTCTGATGAAGCTGTAAAGTCCAGCTGCGGACAACAGCATTAGTGTAGTCATAAAAAAAAAATTCGGATGGATCGAATGAAGTAAGATTTTAATATGATCTTATTTTGGAGAGATATATAGAAAGATAGTGATGAAACCAGCTCGAATTTTTTTTATTAACAATCAGCCCCTTCCGCTTGCATGCTATTTTTGTCATTGGTAAAAAGAATTATAAATTTTAATGCATCATATCATATAACTACTTGATGACAAATTAAAAAAAATCTATGTTCATGTTATTTGGGAGGTAAAGAGAATGGAGTACTACGTCTTCTATCTTTACGCTCAATGCCTTCATTTACTTTCCCGACTCATCTCGTATATTACGCCGGTCCTTCACTATTTCTTTATATTAGACATAGGATTTATCTGGCCAGTCTATGCCTGCTCCCCAATTCAGTATATTTTACATTTTCACGTATTTTACAGGCAGAAGAGACACTAAGCGATCAATCTGTAAGTTCCATGTCTCGACCACCGCGCACGTGTCTTTACGAACATGAAAAACCGTCTTTTGCCCACCATTGGACCTTCACAAAATATACATACGACAACTGCAGATTTTATTGCAGAGCAATAGCTCAAGTCGAGCTGTGTAATTGTACACATCACTTTATGCCAAGATTAGGTAAAATCTTTTTGTTTTTAATACATTTTATTACATATTTTAAGGTAGTTATATGTTGAAGGAATGATATAACCACCTGCGCTTACGGTATTTGCTGGCATGGTACTAGAGCATTTCAAGTTATTTATTTGTGAAGTACAGTTACCAAAGGTTTTAAAGACTTGTCAGTTAGCCCAACTTGCCGAGTTCTGACGACGCCAACCAATACCATGATACTCACAGTTATGTACCATTAGCGTAAGCGGAATTCACCATTTCATTATCAACAATCACAATAGCCTCAAACAATACTTACGTAAATTAAAATTTTTTATTTGTGAACATTACTATGACCTCTAGAAATAGATAGTAAGTTTCGCTGTCTTCTGCAATTACGCGTACAAATATGATTGAAAGTTCCTCTTTTAATAAACGCCTATTTGATTCATTTAGTTTCTCTGATGGAAAGTTGAGTATTCTAATTTATTTTACAGGTGATTACCCTATGTGCGATATTCAAGGACTTTCATGTCTCGGTAAACACAGAGGTAAATTTAAATTAAATGTACTTAATATGGCTATAATGTCTACCGAAAATACCCTTTTAGTACTTAGTACACGAACACTGCGTTTGATTTATTCAATTTAAGATTCAGATCTGAAAAGAGATGAAAAGAAAAAGAAACGTGATCTGTCATAAATTTGAATGAAATGTGCCTTTTCACGATAAAAGTTTATCAAGTTTTTTTTTAAAGGGAAATATCTTTGATTGTTAATATTCATCTTATCCAATGTGACTTACGATCAATTTCTTAAAAATATCTGTCATATATTTTGGTTTTATTTGTTTAACTAGTAGTTTGTTGTCATGTAATCTAATTAATATTAAAGTAGTAATTGGATACTTTATATCATTTATAACTTTATATATTTGTTACACATGTATTCTTTTAAACTCTTGTATCTATATTTATTAAATGTATCAAAGCAAGTTTGTAAATTAAAATGGCAATAACTAGATCCCGTTACTTTTGTAATTTTTGATACTTTACCCTTAAATTTTGAATACTTTTTGTCGTATTTGCCAAAGGCAGTAAAACGAAATAAAATAGGCATAAGATGCAAGTAATAATAATTTATATAAATATTATTTGTTCTAAGTTAATCACACTACGAACTGGTTATGTATGCATTGCCACTTGTAATACATATTAAATTAATTTATAGATTTCTTCAGCACTACAGTTTGTGAATGTCCAATGAAATGTGAAGAGGTACTCTATAAACTTATACATATATTTGAAACGTAAGTTATTTTAATTATTTATAGATATATTAACCTAGAATGTCGGACTCTGTGTGAGAGAGCTCATATACGCGGTTGTAAATGAAAATAGTGCCAGTAAGAGGAGGAAGTGGAGGACGAGCCTTCAGTTGCTTCATAAGATCTTTCGCAAGTTTAGAATACCTTCTGCACTTGCTACCGTTTCCCTCTGGTGAAGCTGTAAAAGTCAGCTACCTCAATAGAATTAGAATAGTATGTAGACAACGCACCGTTATGACTATTATTCCAGCTGGGATAGGCAGAGGCATTGTCAACTGTCGATGTTGTGATGAATCATTTCGCTCGAATTTATCATGATGGTTTCTAGGGGGAACCATGTGGAGGTCAACCTGATATGCTAGCAATGGGGGTGTTAGTCCACATTACTAACAATGCTCTTTATTTACTATCGACATTAGAATAGTTCGAAAAAACAACTAGTACGTTGAATTTTAGTGACTATGATAGTGATACGTACACATCTCAACCAGGACCGTGGATGTGATCGATGACAACCCCATTACAACACCAAATCGTTGGAATTAACCCGTAGTTATATTTTATAATTAATAAAAGTCCAATACTAGTCCAATATTAGTAGCAATGTAAAATAGTTTGCAGAAAAACAAAAGAATAAAACAAATAGCGATCGCTCGAGAACGCTTAGAAATTTCTATTTGAAATTTATGATATAAAATGTTATAAAGGTTGTTACTTTATTAGGGTTTCCAACAGAGTTGTTCAGGTCAATTCAAACGCTTTATATAATTTTGTAGTGAACAGAAGAACACAGAAGAGATGGTGGCGCGGGGAACTCGTGTGCGAGTGAAACTCGCTCAGCTCCCGTCTTTGCGAGTACAGCGAGTAGCTATTAGGGCTACACTTGGATTAGTCGGTAATAGACATAAATATAATAAGAAACTATATAAATTAATCTATATTATTTCATTGTATAGGTTGTACCTGTTATCCAGTAATTTCTGTTTTATTCAATACTAGCTACTCGCTCCGGCTTCGCCTGGGTGTACAAGTAGTATATATATATATATATATATATATATATTTATTTTTTATTTTAGTTATTCATTTCAATATTACAACACCATTACAGTATATATACATATATAAACCTTCCTCTATAATCACTTTATCTATTTAAAAAAAAATCGCATCAAAATCCGTTGCGTAGTTTTAAAGATTTAAGCAAACATAAGGACAGACAGCGACAGCCACTTTGTTTTATACTATGTAATGATGATGATATATATTTTTATTGTATAAATAAGTATATATGTATGCACATTCATTATGATGTGGCGTCCGTGGTACCAGTCATTCGTTGTCATTCTGGAGGACTAAGGTGTTATACTTATTATCAGGTAATTCCACTATCTCATCTAATCCTTCAACTGTAAAATAGATTACAAAGTAAGCTGCGGATGAAATAAATAGACATAGACCTATCATCATCAGATCTATACAGTCGGCTTTTACCTCTGTTGAATTGATGTTTAGATTCAACTTGTTTTTTGTTTTCAGTGGACTTCGGAGGGGTAATAGGAGTGTTTTTTGGAGCATCACTACTCAGTATTATAGAAATTATATATATTCTATGCATAAGACGCGCACCTTCAATTAATTAAGTAAATATATCTTTTAGACATGTTCAAGTATTGAATACATATGAGCAATATCCTAGTTGTTAACCGCTATTTATTCTCATGGTACAATCCTCTCATTCTCATTTCATGTCGATAGAATCTGTTTAGCCATTTTATCGAAACAGGCAGTCACACTTTCAATATTTTACCTATACGTTATTAGATTTGTCTTGTGACTTCCTTATATTTTTTTTAATAAACTATAACCTATGTCTATTGTCGCGGTAAAACTTTATGCCTTTCTTTAAAATGCGATCAGTCGTCTAGTAGTGTACAGGTGATAAAGAGACAGATACACTTTCACATTTATTATGTTAGGATACAATTAAATTAATAATAAGAAGAAAAAGATTATGATTATTTACAAAAATATTTTTGTTGTATATTTTAAAATATACAACAAAAATAATTTTTAATTACAATATGGATCATTGCAATAAAATCTGGTGAATATATATAATGTTTACTTAATCAATGTTTTATTTCTGAACCTTTTTTTTGTGGATTAGCGAGATTGCAATTGAATCAGTTCAGTAGTATTAGCGACTTTTTGAAGACTTTCTAAGTCCACTCGCCATTCTTTGTGGAACGAAAATAACAAAGCAATACTTACGTAAAACCTTTTCATCACATATTCCCCTGGGAATGGTTGACTTATTCAATGAAATACAAACTTAACCTCTGCCTAGACTGGTTTGAACCACAGGCTTCAAAACTTAAACAAATACTTATGAGTATAAAATACTTCTTATTAACAATAGTTTTTTTCTATTTTATTTTATATAGCAACGTTGGGAGCGCCTTCGTTGGAAGGAATGGCTGGGAATTAGTTGCCCCATTGTAAGTAATGTTTATTCTTAGAAATCATAGTAATTAATTCCAGGTGAATGCATCGTGATGGGTTTATTTTATGCCGAATAAGTCGTGCAGCACTGGTTCTTCATCAGCGTATACCGTTAGCGCAAGTAGGTGCCCCATTCCATATTCATCCAATAAATAAATATCTACAAATTAATGCTTGTCTGAATAAAATGCTTAGAACAATGAAAACAATAACAAAATAACTTTTAAAATAAGTTTGGTTCTACAAAAAATATTATCATCAGGAAAAATGTACGTGGCAACAAAAGGGTAATAACACCCTGTCGATTACAAAGAGAATAATCAAAACGTATTCTGCTTTTAGTATTAAGTATCCCTTAGGGTAATCGGATAAATACTGACATTTATATGATACTTACTGCTACAACTTTGTTTACTTTTTTTAAATGCCTAATGTTCTTTATTTTTATTACTTCTGGTACAATAAAGAGTAAATTAACAAATAATACCATATATCCATTTGTGTGAGACTATATATGTTCACGGCTTTCATCAGACTTACATTTTGTCAATTACCTACTTAATAAAATTAAATACTCTTTTTAAAGGTTGTCTGGAAGGTTTTGCATGAGCCATAAGAAGGCCTTTTGTACTTAGTTTTATTTTTAATATTCTAATCTTTATATTTTTTAAATATATAAAAATACAACAATAAAATGTTACAAAATTGTAGAACTTCTAACTAACCTATTTCGCACACTCAAGAGAAATTCTTAACAATCTATTTGTCTCTGAAAACCCATATAGCTTTGTTAAGATCGCGGGAAGGCATTGGATGCGAGCAGCGCAGGACCGATCGTCGTGGAGATCTTTGGGGGAGGCCTATGTCCAGCAGTGGACGTCTTCCGGGCTGCGATGATGATGATGATGATAGCTTTGTTACAATAATCTGCGGTCTCGATGGTCTAGTGATTTAGCCACTTTACTTCCGATGGTTGCGGGGTCGATTCCTCGCACGGTGCAAACTTTTGTATTCACAGTACATCAGTCTGGATGTTTACATATATTATATATGTAAAAAATATAATAAGTAAGTATTTATATCAGTTGTCTAGTGCCCAGAACACAAGCTTTGCTAACCATGGGACTAGATGGAGCTGCGTTAATTGTCCAGAGTTATTTGTTTAATATTATAAGATAACTTGACGCCACGAAGGCGTCTAAAGAAAAGTGCAATGTATGCTACGATAGGCCGTAAAAATCTGTGGCTATAATCTAACGATTAGTGTGGTCAGATCTTATTGGATTTTTGGGGACTGTGTAAAACTACCAATATTTAACTCTCTAAATACTTACACCGAATGTTTAAAAAAAACCTTGCATGACCAACTGTTTATATTGAATTATACAATTAATATAATACATTAGATTATACAAAATTTAATAACAGTATACAAACGTAAATGTTGTGATTATTCTAATTTTTAATGAATTATTTGTTTATACTGAATTATAGAATACATTAAATTATATAAACTTTAATAACAATATGCAAGCCTAAATATTATGAGTGTTGTAAAATTGTCAATAAAAAATATAATATACCTATTATCGACATGGATATTTGGAATTTACCTTCTGCCATGGAATGTGAACAGAAAAGGTCGACATTCGTGCAGTATCATTTAGAAGCCATCGAGGAATTTCTGATATTTATTTGGTCACGATGGTATAACTGAAGTAACATTACTTTCATGTTTACATCCTTCTGTAGAATCCCTTTAGCATATACAATAAATTTTATTATCATTAATCAATAAAAAAATCGTCATCCTACTTAAAATAGTGAAATTGGTCACCATAATTATGGTGCTTGCGTCTCAAGTATTTCACGCTTGAGGCGAGCCTCCACTACAGTTTTTATTACCATTTTATGGGCTCTCTAAAGCTAATGTTACGAGAAGTGGTGCCAGCCTTGGGGGCAACTATAAAGATATCGCAACTGACTAGTTTAGCATCACATACAAAATACTTGTTCCCAACAAATATATTGCTTATGGTTCAGAACTTATATGTAGACTCGGGAATGAGAAAGCAAATGATTTCGAGCCGCTATTACTTTTCACTATAGACTTCTCTTATTGAGAAGAAATCATAACACATTCTCACTTTTTCATCTCTACTGCTAACTTCTACACCTCAATACTATCGTGTTTTTATTCTCAATTTCGAATCCACTCTCTTCTCTTTCACGAGATCTTTTTATCTCATTAGCAACATGTTCAAAATTACACATATTTTTTTCAGTTGGGACGGCAGCAACTCTTTGCTTTGCCATTTTAATCCTTACAAACTTAATTGTTATCCATGTACATATGGCACACTTAAAATAAATTATGTTATATAAAAAAATGTTAAATTTGCTTAAAGTTCTAATTTTAAATTCAAATTTATTGTGTATAGTGTTTTAGAATGTAATAGATACTATATTTCGCCGATACCAAATAATAGGATAAAGGCAAGGGAATGAGCAATAGATACCGTAAATAATCAAGAATTTTTTTGAGTTTTTTTTAATCAGAGAATTTTTGGTGTAGGAAATGTTAATCTATTTGTAATTAAAGTTTATAGTGCCTAGTGGTCGTTAATTTTACCATAAATAATTTAACATTCAGTAAGCCTATATACAAATCATAGGAACAATATTAATCTATTCACAATTTTTGATCACAGACTATAACAATAAACAAAATAATATATATTTGTTACTAATAAACTAAAATAATATATGTTTGCTTGTTTATGCCAAATATATGATTTTTTTTATAATTTTAATCTATTTTTATGCATAATTAAGAAAATGTAAAGCATTCTACACGCCTTCTCTACATGTGTGTTAAATTTCATACTCCCCCGTCTGTGCAATTTTAATAAAATGGGATACAAAGTTTTTGTTTAAGGTATTAATTAACCAGATCGTAGATATTATCCAGTAGCGATGCAGTCTTTTTAGTACAAATGTCTTATGACAGAAAGGCTGACATCCCGACATATATATCTTATATAGAAAACACTATGATATTATAGTTTAGAGAGCATCATATATAAGAATCTACACGATTTGATACAAAAGTACAAATGGTTTCTAAATTGTTTGTTATTGTGTTCATATTGGTATTTATTTATTTGGATCATGAGTATGGTCAAGAAATTTGGGATCACGAATTTGCTTATGTAGAAAATGAAGGTTAGTAACCTAACCTAACCTACAAACTTATATCAATATTGTATATTTCGTAAATTTCGAGATATAGTAAATATTTACTTTGGTAAATTGGTATTTTATTTGATCATTTAGTATAATTTAGTTATTTCTACCAGCAGATTACTTTCTAATTTGTGTTGTGGTTTGGAAATTCAATTTAAAAGATATACTCACTGTATTTGACTATTACATGTTGTAGTTTTTTTTATACGAGCTTTGGGTTATTATCAGGTGCTAAGACCTGTAACACTGCGATCTGCATAGATCTATTGTGCTCGCCCATTTTTAAAACTCGCTACCTAGACCTGTGAGGGACAAGAATTTAATGAGAAGTATATTTATGAGTAAATGAGAGTGTATTTATCATATTTTATTAAACAAATGATTATGTGCAAAGCTTATTTGCATAAAATCGTCTGTGTGAATAATATTTACCTATTTCCATCCCTTAGACTGCTAACTATAGCTAGATTACCTGTATTTCAGTTGTAGTATGAGATGTTTCAAAGAAATTACAGGATAAGGGGCTGTACATCTTGGTCACTATATAAGTGGTATCACGGGCGTCGCATGATGAGATGTTCGAGGTACTATTCGCACATATAGGCGACTGTTATCTTATTTACTTACTGTTACATGGCAGTGAGATAATGGGGTACAGAGATACGATCATATAAGCCTTAGGAATAATAATGAACGGGGAGTACTAAACTCGAGAACTAACAACGGAATGACCATCGTACTGGTTATAGTTAAATGCTGCGGTTACCTTCAAATAGATAATACATTAGTATTTTTTAATTTATGTAGATATATCAAAAAATACTAATATTTTTTTCCTGATAATAAATTCTGTTGTTTTTTAGATAACAAAGATCGCTGCAATCAGACATAC